CAGGATGCGCCTGCCGCTGCCTCGCCGGGCCGCCTTCGCCATCGCCGGGACGCTGGCGGCCTGGGGCCAGCCGCGCATGGGGCTCTTCGTGATGTGGGACTTCCTGCCTACGTCGATTGCTCGGCTCTTCGAGGATGCGTGCCACGCCCTGGGCCTGATGCACTTGCAGCCGCATCTGTACTCTCTGCGTCACGGGGGCGCCAGCGAGGACCTGCTGTCGGGCGCCAGGACGCCGGAACAGTTCATGCAGCGGGGTCGCTGGGCCACAGTGGCCTCGCTCCGCCGCTACGGCAAGGAGACCCGCCTCCTCCGGGAGGCCGCCGAGGTGGACCCCGACGTGCTGCTGTTCGGCGAGATCGTGGAGCGCAACTTCCTGGACGCGTTGCGGGGCGGCCCCCTGCTGCCGCTGGTGTGGGCCGAGCTGCCCGCGAGCGTTGGCCCCCGCCTGCGGGGAGGGCCCGGGGCCCCCGCCGCCACGCGGCGCCGCCGACGCTGACGGCGTCGCCTCAGGCCGCGCGGCTTCACCTGCAGCGGCGGTACCGCCGAGGCCGTGCTGGCGCGAGCAAGTGGAGGAGCTGCCTGTTTCTGGAGCTGTTTGCAGGACAGGGTCGCATCGCCAAGCGCATCCGCGACCTTGGCTACGGGTGCCTGGACCTGGACCTCGTTCACGGGGCCTGCGAGGATCACCTCCACACCACGTTCGAGTCGGTCGTGCGCGGGTGGCTTCTGAGCAAGGCCATTGTAGGTCTGTGGCTGGGCACTCCCTGTACGTCCTGGTCGCAGGCTCTCAGAGACCCTTTGCGCTCCAGTCGTTTCCCCATGGGGAAACCAGGTTTGTCCGGACCTAGGCTGGACCGCCTCCGCGTTGGCAATCGCTCTTTCTACTTTTCTTGCCGGCTCATCCGGCTCTACATCCAGATCGGCTGCCCTGTCTTTTTGGAGAACCCTCGCGGGTCGCTGCTTTGGCACGCCCCCGAGATGATCAAGCTTCTTTCGGATTCATCGTGCACCATTCACAAGATGGACATGTGCCGCTTTGGCACACCCTTTAAGAAGCCGACGACAGTGGCCGGCTGGAATGCAGGCGTCTTCCCCAGCTTATGTAAGTCTTGCTCTGGCAAGGGTGGCATTTGCTCGTCGACTGGCCTGCCCCACCTTATCCTCCAAGGCCGAGACAAAGGTGCGCCTGCCCGCCGCACCGAGCTAGCTGCAGCGTACTCGCCTCAGTTCGCCCGCGCGGCCGCCCTTGCCATGACACATTCTGCCAATGCTCTCAGAGAAAAATGGATGATGGATGCTGCCTTCAAAATCATGTAGTCTCTTTTCGGTTGGTTAGGTTATTTCACGTGCGTAGTTCGTTTTCGGCCACTAATGTGGCCAGGACTGCTCTGCGGGATTCGGGTGGCTCTTTTCAGTGTCTTCGAGGGTGTGCGGCTATCGCCGGGGTCAGCTGTCTGTTGTATAGCCTCCGGCCTGCCGTGGCCTCGCCCTCCCGCGCTCGTCCCCATAGTAAATACATCGTCCTGGCATCTGGGGAGTGGAAGTAGCTGATCCTTTTAACAAGTGTATGCTGCGTACCACGGCGAAGTTGCCGCAGTTGATGGTCATCCGCTGCCATCTCGCTCTAGCCTCCCCTCCCGCTCCTCCCTTGCTCTCTCTCAGTCTCGTTTGCACGGATTTCAGGTGGCTCTTTTCAGTGTCTTCGAGGGTGTGCGGCTATCGCCGGGGTCAGCTGTCTGTTGTATAGCCTCCGGCCTGCCGTGGCCTCGCCCTCCCGCGCTCGTCCCCATAGTAAATACATCGTCCAGGCATCTGGGGAGTGGAAGTAGCTATACATATATACATGCATGCATCCATACGTACGTACGTACGTACGTACGTACATTCATACATACATACGTACATCCATACATACATCCATCCATCCATCCATACATACATCCATCCATCCATCCATACGTACATACATACATACATACATACATACACACATACATACATACATACATACATACATACACACATACATACATACATACATACATACACATAACGCCGCACTGGGCCTGGGGGCCCAGGGGCCGCGACCCCGACCGCAAATGTGTGGCCGGGGCCCGACCAAGACGGCCCCTGAGTCCGAAAAGCCTTCCATGAGCCCCCCAGAGCTGCTCAAGAGGCACCAAATTTCCCCAAGACGGCCCACACAGTCACAGGAGGGCCCTGGAGGGGCCCAAGATGGAGAATGCCAGTTGGCGTTTCGAACCCTCCGCCTCCACACGGCCCCGGAGGCCGCCACCGGGCTCCCAATGGGTCGCCCAGGAGCTCCAACAAGCTCCCAAAAGGCCCACAGGAGTTCCCAAATGGCCCCCAGAAGCGTATGAGGCGCCTCGCGTCTACGTCCTGCACGGCCCTCCTAGAGAAACCTCACGAGGCTCTGGGAACCTCTGGAGGCCTCCCTGGCGTCTCTCTGGACCGTCTTGGGGGTCCTTTTGAAGCCCGTTTGGGCCGTCTTTGGTCCCTCTTGGGCCGTGCTGGGGCCTTCTTGGGGCCACATTGGGCCCTCCTGGGGGCCTCTCATGGCCTTTGCGGGTCTCGCTTGGGAGTCTTTGGGGACCTCGTGAGCTTCTTCTGGGCCGTCCTGGGGCAGTCTCGGGTCCCTCTCGGGCTTTCTTGAAGCCCTCTCGGGGGCCTCTTGGGGGCCGTCTTGGGGCGATCTCGAAGGCCTCTTGAGCCGTCGTGGAAGCTGCTACGACACAAGCAGCGAATATGCCTAAAATGCACGTTTCCCCAAGGGAATGGGAAGACTGATTGATCTTGGGAGCCCTCCTGAAAGCCATTTGAGGCCTCTTGGGGGCTTCTTGGGCCGTCTTGGGGGCCTCGTGGGTCGTCTTGAAGCCGTCCTGCGCTGTCTTGGGCCCCTCATGCGTCTCTTCGACCACTTTTCTGATCGCCGTGGGTCTGCTGGGCAAGGGTTGGCAAAGCGCCCTGGGAGGCGCGGCAGGGCTGGAGAACCTCTTCGAAGGGCGTCCAGGGGGCCCCAAAGCCCCGGATCTCGGGGTCCGTGTTTTTATTAATTAAGTTATTAATTTATTTATTTATTTATGGTTATATTTATTTATTTATGTATTCAATTTGTTTTGGGGGGGGGCGTTGTTTTTTTTCCCACCCTCCCGGCTTGTAAAAAGAATAGTAGAGGAATTGCAACACTTCGCCCTCAGCGTCGCGAAAACAGCACGTACGGCTCCCGGATCTGAAGGCCATCCTCGCTCCTGTCATCTTTCGGGCCATAACCCGCGCGCCAGACGTCCGTTCAGGACGATTCCACGCTGATTCATGCACTGCGCGTCGCAGGGCTGTGCGGATAGGCAGCTACGTGGCAAGCGCGCAGAGTCATGCTGAACTCCTTGAGGGGCGCGAATCGTGTGAGTGGTGTGGCGAAGGGGGTCGGGTACTTATGCCATGCGGACTGTGCCACTGGGGTCGTCGGTGGGGCAACATGTGGGGCCACAAAACGTGTGAGGGGTGTACCGAAAGCAACGGGGGTACGCCATGCGGACCCTGCCAGTGGGGCCGTGAGTACCTGTCCCCACTACGAAACGTGCGAAGGGTATGTCGAGCAATTGGAAACATGGGCAGGTATGTCATCAAGACCTTGTCACTGGGGCCGCAGGTGGAGCTCATGCTGGGGCCACGAAGCGTTTGAGGGGTGTGCCGAAATTGGCCAGCGTACGCCATGCGACCGCACCCACTGGGGCTGAAGGTGGGGTTCCATGTAGGGTCACGAAATACGTTATGGGGTGTGCCGAGATGGGTTCAGAGAGCGGCATGCGGACGCGCCCGTTGGGGCCGCAGGTGGAGCTCACGCTGGGACCACCAGGCGTTTGAGTGGTGTGCCGACATTCACCCGCGTGCGCCATGCGGCCGCACCAATTGGGGCCGAAGGTGGGGTTCCCCATAGGGTCACGAAACGCTCTAGGGGGTGTTCCGAGATGGACCCGCATTCGGAGTACACCTTGCGGACGCGCCCACTGGCACCGCAGGTAGAACTCCATATGAGGCACGAAGCGCGTGGCGCGTGTACCGACATTGGCTTGTGTACGCCATGCGTGGATGCGCCCACTGGGGTCGTAGGTGGGGCTCCCTATGGGGCCACGAAACGTTTGAGGGTAGTACCGAAGTGGACCCACGTATGCGACCGCGACTACTGGTGCCGTAGGTGGGGCTAAACTATGGAGCCACGAAGCGTGTGAGGAATTTGCCCCGAAATAGACCTGCGCGCATCGTACGCCATGCGGACACGCCCATTGGGGCCGTATGTGGAGCTCTCTTTGGGGCCACGCAACGTGTGAGGTTTGTGCAGCAATGGGCCCGTGTACGCCATGCGACCGCGACTGCTGGAGCCGTAGGTGGAGCTAGCCATGGAGCCACGAAACGTGTGAGGGATGTGCCGAAGTGGACCCGCGTGTACGTCGTACGTCATGCGGACACGCCCACTGGGGCGGTATTTGGAGCTCTCTATGGGGCCAGGGAGCGTGTGAGGGTTGTGCCGAAACTGTCCGCGTACGCCATACGACCGCGCCCACTGGGGCCGTAGGTGGAGCTCCTCATCGAAGCACGAAACGCGCGCCGAAATTGACCCGCGTATAGGTGGAGCTCCCTATTGGGCCACGTAGCATGTGAGGGGTGTGTCGAAATGGATCCGCATAGAGGCCCAGAGAGGAGCTGGATGCGGGTGGGAAGGAGACGCGGGCTGTTGCGGAGACAAAACGAGGACCCAAAGACCGGGAGGTTTGGTAAGATGTGAGGAGGTCCCACCCCACCAAACCATCCACCTCCACATGCTTCTCCAACCGCTTCGGGTCATTGGGTGATATGATGCGGCGGCCGTGCGGCGTCGCTCTCGCGTCGCACGGGGAATCCCGTTTGTCCTACGGGTGCCATGGGTTTCTAGGGGTTTCCTCCTCTAACCCCCCTTTCCCATTCTCGCCCCCCCTTGCCAGGAGCTCAAAGCCGCGAACGACGAGCAGGAGCTGACGCCAGGGGGGGCTGCTCACGCAGCAGTCTGGCGTTGGCAGCAAGCGGCGGGGCGGCGGGCAGCGATGAGCGGAGTTCTTGTTTTTCTAGAAGAAGGCACCAAGACGCATATCGGAGGTCGCCTCCCCTGGGGGAAGATCATCTTCGACGTCGGTGTTGGCAGTGATGTGAGGCGTTCCAAAGGGAGACTTCGAGGATGGATGGAGTTGCCATATCTTCCCCGGCGGAAGGTTGGCGGAAGGCGGCGGATGTTAAACGGCGGCGGCTCGGCCGGCGGAAGCAGGCGGAAGAAAAAATCGTTCCATCAGGAGACAGCAACATGTTTGGGTTCAGGGGGTCTGGAACCCGCCATATAGGTAGGTCACCCAAGAGGCCAAGGCTCCCACCGTCTATTGGGGCGGGGGCCATGTTGCCTGGCGCTTGTACCACATTCCAGGTCTCCCTGGAGTCTTTGAAGTGTTTGGAATCCCTGGATTAAGCAGTGGCGAAGCGACCTGGCTTGCCTCTTGGGCCGCCAAATAACGGTCTACCAACATTGTGTGTTTTGCGCGGACTGCTCTCAGAACCTGTACGGCTGATACGGCACTGCTTTAATACATCGGCATTCTGCTCTAAGAGAAGTGTCTTTCTTGTCAGAACACTTGTTTGTTTCAAGAAGATGTCGTGGGAGGGGCCCTCGGCCTTCCCCGTCGTTCCTGCCTCCCTTCGTGCTCCTCTTGTCCTCGTGCTGTTTGGGTCTCTTGCTCACATCCAGTCGGCGGCTGCCCGACCACCACGTCACGCCAGTTGTTTGGAACTGCTCGAGGGTCTCCTCGACCACGGTACCGCGAACGCTAACAATATTGGCGTGGGGTTGCCTGGATGCGTTAGTCCCCCCCCAAAAAACATCCTTTTGATGTCAAAATTGTCTTCATACAAGTTAGGGGGAAACAAAACATATGTCGTGGCAGGCCTGCAGGAATGCCGGGTCGCTCGGCCTCTGCTCCACCGGAGAGGCCCTCGCGAGCCTCAGGGCGCGCCCTCCGTCGAGGGGCCGCCCCGTCGGGAGCCTCTCTCATCAGGGGGGCCCGCGGGAGCGGCGCCCGGGTGGTGGCCTCCGCGGCGTTCAGTCGGGCATGTCCCTCGACAGGGCGAACATCCAAAATTAGTAAGACAAGAAAACAACTTCTGGGGACGTTTTTCCTTGTCCCCCCCACTTTGTTGGCCATGCTTGTAAGTTTTTGTTGGGTTAGTTTTGTTTGTTCCTCCAAGATCCCCCTGTGGGTGGACATGCCCGACCTGAGGCCAGCGGCCCGAGGCCAGCTGGCGGGAGGGGGGAGGGCTCGCTCGGCCGGCCCGGAGTCGCGAGCCGCGCCCAGACCCCCTCGAGTCGTGAAAAAAAGTCGCGCGGGGAGATGTTTCTGCATGTTTCGCCCTGGGGGGCCCCCGCCGGGCCCCGGGTCGTCAAAAGACGGCTCAGGATGAACAACCGACAGCCGATGCCAGAGAGTGGGTCGAGAATGCAGGGGCCGTCGTGAGAAAGTCATGACGCAGGGGTCTGGGCATGGAGGGGGGCGACCGTTGGGGGGGGGGGCAGCGAGGGCTGCAGAAAAAGGGTCCTTTCGGGCCCCTGACTGGGGCCCTTTGGGGCCCCAGTCAGGGGGCCTTCGGGACCCGAGGAGTGCACCCTCTCTCCGCCCCGCCCCTCCCCCCCCCCCCTGTGTCGCCCCCGCACTAAGCTTGGCATCGCTCGGCCGTGTGCAGGTTTCCTTCGGCGAGGACCATCGAGGAGCATCCTTGATCATTTGGCGAAAAAAACCTCGCACGAAACCCAAAAAAAAACACAGGGAATGGACGTCCGAGCAATGGCGAGTAAGCGACGACGCTAAAGAGGGCTCACTCGGCCGGCCCAGCACGGGGCGTGCGGCGGGGAGGCTCCGCTGCGCGCAGAGGGGGGTTGCAGTCGAGGCCGATCAGGTCGACCCTGCCAGATCAAGGGTGCCCTCGGGTCCTGCGCCTCGCGACCCATGCTTCCACAGTCACATGGCTGTGCGGCCCTCGGAAGAGTCTGGTGTCCTCTTGCGTGTCCTCTTCAGTCCACCCCGACTGCAGGTCAGAGGAGGAAAAGGTACCCCATACTATCACCCTGCCCCTGTTTTCTCCTTTCTGGGCCTCCTGGGAGGCCCTCGTCGCCACCGCTGGATTCGCCTCGAAATCATGGTCAGAACGCACTCCGGGAGAGGTCTGGGGAGTAGCGGTATCCGTACATTCCCGTTTCCCCAGTAGGTGGGCACACGATGGTCGTTGAAAGAAGGATTTCTGGGCTCCCAGATCCCTATCTAATTATATCAAGCGCCTTCCTGCTTCAAGAATCGGTATGCTTTTGCTGTGTCTGTGTTTTGGCTATTCTCTGGGAGGCCCTGAACCCAATCTACTTGATCAGCCTTCCTACTTTATGTTTTCACGTACTTCTTCCGACCGACGTGTAGGCAGAGGGGGGCAGATTTCGTAGAAGCACCCCTGCTTCTCAGCAGGCGGCGGGCCTCATATACAGATGTAGGGCCAGCGCCTTCTAAGAAGCGGCCTCCCTTAAGAAGCGGAAGCGGATCGGAGGGGGAGGCTCACTCGGTTGGCCCGGCACGCAGCGTGCCTCGGGGAGGCGGGGGGTCGACAGATCGCCATGGGGGAGCGTGTCCTGAGGGACACGTGTCCTGAGGTTTCTCGCCGCTTTGTGGTCTCCCGGGACCCTCCACGGGTCCCGGGATTGTCATGCAACGATTCGGGATGAAGATCTCTTCCTGGGGGGAGGCCCCAGGGTCCAGGACCCGTTTCCTTCAGGATCCGTTCCCCCAATGCTATTTTCCGCTTTTTGTTCTCAACCTTCCTTGGTTGGGTATTCGTTTTGAATATAGAGCACTGCTCGCGCGTCCTTCCTTCCTTCTTCCGCCTCCCTCTTGTCTCCTCTTGCCTTGTGTGTACCTCCGGTGTGTGCATCTTGCTTGTGGTACCTCTTGCGTGTGCATCTTGCTTGGGGGGCTGCGATCTGCGAAACTGTTGCCACTTTCGAGGGCTGCTGGTGGGTCCAGCGGAGTGAGGCACCGCGCAGACCTGAGCGAAACCTCGCCGTCCCTGGGGGGCTGCGATCTGTGAAACTGCCGCCTTTTTCGAAGGCTGCTGGTGGTTCCAGCGGAGTGAAGCACCGCGCAGACCTTAGCGAGACCTCACCGTCCCTGGGGGTGGGGGGGGGGCTGCGATCTGCGAAATTGTCGCCACTTTCGAGGGCTGCTGGTGGGTCCAGCGGAGTGAGGCACCGCGCAGACCTGAGCAAGACCTCGCCGTCCCTGGGGGGCTGCGATCTGCGAAACTGTCGCCACTGGTCCAGCGGAGTGAGGCACCGCGCAGACCTGAGCGAGACCTCGCCGTCCCTGGGGGGCTGCGACCTGCAAAAATTGTCGCCACTTTCGAGGGCTGCTGGTGGGTCCAGCGGAGTGAGGCACCGCGCAGACCCGAGCGAGACCTCGCCGTCCCTGGGGGGTGCGATCTGCAAAATTGTCGCCACTTTCGAGGGCTGCTGGTGTGTCCTGCGGAGTGAGGCACCGCGCAGACCTGAGCGAGACCTCGCCGTCCCTGGGTGGGGGTGGGGGGCTGCGATCTGCGAAACTGCCGCCTTTTTCGAGGACTGCTGGTGGGTCCAGCGGAGTGAGGCACCGCGCAGACCTGAGGGAGACCTCGCCGTCCTTGTGGGGCTGCGACCTGCAAAATTGTCGCCACTTTCGAAGGCTGCTGGTGGGTCCAGCGGAGTGAGGCACCGCGCAGACCTGAGCGAGACCTCGCCGTCCCTGGGTGGCTGCGACCTGCAAAATTGTCGCCACTTTCGAGGGCTGCTGGTGGGTCCAGCGGAGTGAGGCACCGCGCAGACCTGAGCGAGACCTCGCCGTCCCTGGGTGGGGGTGGGGGGCTGCGATCTGCGAAACTGTCGCCACTTTCGAGGGCTGCTGGTGTGTCCTGCGGGGTGAGGCACCGCGCAGACCTGAGCGAGACCTCGCCGTCCCTGAGGGGCCATGCCATGTTGGTGTTGCCCCTCCGACGTTTCAAGCCCCTTGTCCACAATCTCCTTCTGGACCTTGCGTCTTTCTTAGAGACTCAGGGGTTCACTTAGTTACTCATAGTGGTTCCCTTGGTTGGGGACCTGCGAACCTTCCGAATGCCGCTCGCAGAAGTATATGCGTCCATGTTACGTCGCCGCCTTCCCGTCAAATCTCCCAAGCTACTCTTGGCCCGCATTGCGCAGGGGTTGGGTACGTCGTCAGGGTAACTCTTTTAATAGCAGGGGCTCATCCCGGACAGGGATAAATAATTCCAGAACGCCTTCGGAGCGTCCTGGAACGCTCTGAGAAGGCCGCGGTCCCCACCGCTGGATCCCAGACGTTCTCGAGTTGTCCCTGTCCGATTATGTCCCTGTCCTGGCCTCGTCTGAGGGCCAGTTTCCCTCAGGACCCCCATGCTAACGACAGTTCTGGCCCTTGTGTCTCGCTGCGTCCTGTTTTTCTGCGAGGTCCGAGCTCTCGGAGCCAGTGGGAGCGACGGAGAGAGAGAGAGAGAGAGAAACAAAAAAAGAGGAGGGGTGGTCGGGGATGGAGGCAGGCGGGCAGGGACGGTGCGAGGGAGAAAGAGGGAGGGAGAGATAGAGGGACTCGGGCGGGTGGTAAATGGGGGGTGGCCCACATGGGGGGTGAAAAGAAAAGGGCCCTCAAAGGGGCCCTTTTGGGGCCCCTTTTGGGCACCGGCTGCCTCCCAAAGGGACCCTAATAAAAGGCCCCCTTGGGGGCCCTTTTCCTCGCCCCCCGTGTGGGCCGCCACCCACTGCCACCCCCCCGGGGGACGCACGGAGGCACGGGCGTGCGAGGGGGGGAAGGGGGAGGGAGTCAGCAAAGGGAGATTTCGAGGAGGGCTCGAGGGAGGGGGGAGAGGGGAAGGGAGGACAAGTGAGCAACCCGGAGCGAAGGGCGAGAGCGAGCAAAGGGGAGGCGGAAAGGGACGAGCGTGATAGTCAGGTTAGAACGGCGGACAACAACGCTTCATCTCAAAGCCAGCAAACCGATTTGAAGAGAGGACTGGTGCAGACAGGCGATGGCATTCAGGAAAGCGCACTTGTGTGCGGGGTGCGTGCGTGTGTGTGTGTGTGTGCGCGCGCCGTATACACTTATGTGTACAGGTATATCGACACGCGAAAGGCAGGCACGCATATGCATAGACATATGTACATCTACAGTTGTTTGTACAACCATTCTAAACTATATTTGCATATATACATATATATATATGTATATATGCATATATACATATATATACATATATATATATATATATACATATTCTCTGGCTACCCGGGGACACGCCGAATTTCGCGCAGCAGACTGTCGCAGTCCACGTGCGACGCGCGCGACGTGGCCCGCTGTTTGGGAGAGCGTGCGCGGGCTGCGCAGCGGTGGTCGGGCCCCGCGGCTGGGTTGGCTCGGCCGCATGCCTTTTCACAGCGCACGGCGGTGGCCTGAGCAGTGTCGGCAGCGACGGGGGCCACGACGGGCGCGAGCAGAGTGCGGGAGAGGCCTCGGAGGTGAGGATGCCAGGGAGGTCAGGGCAGGGAGCTGCGGGCGCGAAGGCAGCAGTCATACTTAGCCGAACCATGGAATTGAGCACGGAAGAGTTTTGGCGCGAGGCGCGCCGGGAGCATGCAGGAATTGTAGTGAAGCGTTTTGACTTGGAAAGGAGTCTTCTGGAAACGGGCGCGGGGGGGAGACGCGCCATCGCGCGAAGAGGATCAGGAGGCCTTGTCAGTGCTCGGCGCTGACATGCGTCAGCCTTGATTCGCGAGAGCCTGAATGCTCGCCCAGGCTGGTCAGACATCCAGCGCGTCGTTAAGTGCATAGGTCGATCGAGGGTGCTCTCGCCAGGATCTTGGAAAGCATGAGTCGCGCTAGGAATGAATCTGATGTGCCGCGGCAGGTCCAGTTGTCCGCGTGCCCACCAGGAGATGCGCCAGGAGTTAACGGCGAGGTCTAACGCAGAGTACACGGCGCACATCGATCTGGATGTCGACCATCGGACGAACAGTTGCGCGGAGAAGCACATGGGCACACTTCGGAGTACAACGCAAATTGTTATCGCATTGCCTTCAGGGGGCATGCACTCGCACATAATGAGGAAGAGAGAACCAGTGGGTTGAAGGTTGAGGGTGGCTTTGAATGACATCGGGGTGGGGAGTAATATAGTCAGCATCAGTGACGCCACAGCTGCAAGTGAGAAAACCAGCCGAAGGAGTGCAGACGCACTGAGGCATTGCAATGATCATGGCGTGACGATAGTGCCAGGAGACGGCGTCAAAGTAGTTGGGGCCCGCGCGCATGAGAACGTTGCGGACGCGCCGCCGCTGGAGCACGTCAGTAGATGCATCACATTGAGGCATGTCAGACACGCGCATCCGCATGCGCCAGCAGGGAGACATGATTTAGCACCTGTTGCTGAGTGGCCGACGACCCGCAGCAGCTTGCCAGCCAGCGATGCGCCCGCGTTCCCAATCGAGTCTCTCGTCTACATCTTCACCCCGCCTCTCTTATCATCGCGGCGCGGCAGCCTCGTTGCCTGTCCGAGCGGGTGGGCCTTTACCAGCCAGGATCACGGGCAACGGAATCGGTGGAGCTGAGCGCGACAGACGCCGTCGCTGATGCTAGGCCGTTAATTGCAGAGGAACTGCGGGCGCATCCGCGACGGTGGGCGTCTGGCGCGCGGCGGGCAGCGGTCGCTCAACAGCAGCTTGACGAGTTCATCGCAAAGAGCCAGCGCAGTTAAATGGCGAGGCGCTTCTGGCAAAGGCTGAGAAAGAAGACGTGGTCGGCCAAGCCGATGAGTTTGAAGATGTTACGCAGAAAAGGTTCGCGGCGTTGCGCGCGTCTGCGATGTGGCACAACAGTTAGGGGGGAAACCGCGGGGCGTCGGGGGTCGCGCGCGGCGCTGCGGCAGCGGGGCGCGCTGCCGAGCGCCATCGAGCGGTCGGCGCGCCAGGCCGCGCACTCGCGGCCGCCCACGAGATCGCGCCGAGCGTCGGGCGGGGCGCCAGGGCCCCCGCGCAGAGCGCAGACGTCCCAGATGCGCCCGTGATCCCTGCCCCCCGGGCGTCGCTGCGCGTTCGCGGGCAGCAGAGAGTTCAACGCCTCGGGGCCAGCGCGGCGCGGCGGCGCATCGGCCCACGCCGCCGGGCCAGCGTCGGGCACCGGGGCGGCCAGCGCCGCCGCCGACGCCTCGCGGGGGGCTGGCGCGGGGCGAGTGCGCGGCGCGTCGGGCGCGCGCCACGAGGGCGGCCAGCGACGATGACCCGGTGCCATCTCGTTGCCCTCCAGCCCGGCGCCCCAGCGGGCACTCAACGCAAACTCTGGGCCCGGCTGCGGAGGCGGCGCAGTGGAACCGGGAGCCGCGCAGCATCTGGCGGGCAGTTTTTCGGCTCGAGGGCTGGCCGCGGAAGTCCTCGCGAGGAAACGAGCGCAGCGGACCAGGTAGTCGCCCGAGTTGCTCGCGACTGCTTCGGACGGTCTTCCCGCTTGCGTTGCGGCGACGCCTAGAGGTTGTTCTCGCCAGGGCAGGTCCCGGGGCCGCGGGCGTGGAGCGTTGTTGCCCGACCGCTGGGTCGAGCGCAACCGCGAGCGCGTCGGTGGGGCTGCCTGCGCACCTGTCTCACGGGCCCCGTGGTCGCCGGCCTCCCGCGGGCCCGAGGGGCGAGGCGCAGGCGTGATAGAATCGCCGCGAGACGTCTGAGACGCAGGCGCAGGTTAGACGCGCCATGAGATGCGGAGTACCGGGCTCGTCGGCGCGCCGCGAGATGGACGACAGCGACCGCGGTGAGATCGCGACCGGCAGCGTCGCCATCCGGTTTGCCGTCGCAGATGTAGCCGGATATTTCTCTGAATTGGCGAGCGAATCCGTGATTCCCCGCCGAACCTCAAGAGCGTCACCGCACGATCTCCCCGCGCTACTGGGCATGACCAATCGACTTTCCGCGTCGATGGGCGCGCGAAGACGGGCGCGCGAGGTCGAGCCGACTTACCGCGCTAGCGAGAAAGAGAGGTCAACGGCGAGTCGCTGGTCGGCATCGCCACTCGAGGCGCTCCGACGCGGTTGCGCGGGCAAGCGCGGTTCCCATCTTTCGAGCACGTTGCGCGGGCGCGCGGCGGGCCGCGCCTCGGGCCGCAAGACCGAGTGAATCAGCGATCATGAACCAGCCGGGCAATTCGCTATAGCAGCTTCCTTTTTCCAGTTGCCAGGTCGCACGCGCTGGACGGTGCCCGGGCGTTGCGGCAACATCGGCATGAAGGCGGCTGAGCAGTTCGACATCGCAGTTGCGTGCTTTGGTTTACGCGAGCCCGTTAGAGATCGCGCCGGATGCCGAGGACGACGATGCCTTCGCGGGGGCGGCCGACCCGATTAACCAGAGACCCAGGCAGTCCAGCGTGCCGAGGTCCAAGAGCAGGCCATCGGGCTGCTCGTTTTCGCGCGGGCCCTGGCGGTTGGCATGTTGCGCGGTCCCTCTGCCCTGTGCGAACTTGCAGCGATGAACACACCATCGAACTTGAGAGGCTCACCGTTGTCGGCGTGGCTGCAGGAGGCATCCATCCGCTCTGCGGTACGCGCTGGCGTGTGACTCACGCATGTTTTAGTTTGCGGTTTAACGATGACAGTGTGCATGAGTCCGTGTAAGAACGTATGTGTTCATAACCCCTTATTTGGTAGGAGACCACGGTTAACGGAATCCCAGCATGGCAACGGGAAGGATTTGGCTTCCGAGTGAAGTGAGGCCGTTCCTTGACTACGCGCGTGTACTGGTTCGTACGTGAACTTTTGTTGAAACTTCCCCCAACACTCATACGAACGGCGCGCCCGAATGGGAACTTTTAGAATATAGCGAGCCAGGTGGCTGGGGAATGTTGCTCCTTGTGTCGTCCTTGTGTCGGTGTTTGGTTCAAGTACTCAAGTCTCAGATCCTGAATAGGGCCCGCCTAACACTGCTTTGACGTTTGCTTGCGCCCGTCTTGTTGAGCAGATACTCAAGTATCGACCATTTGTTGCAGGACGAGGAGAATGGAGAAGAGGAGTAGGGGGGGAGGGGACAGTGTGATGGAAGGAGAGGGGGGCCGTGGAGGGCAGGGATTCGCGGCGACAGTCCGCTGGAGACGGGCTCGCGGTGCCCTGTGTAACGCCGCGACACGGCCCCGCCAGGACGTCGAGTGTGGGACTGACAGCATGCTGATCGCCATAGGCCGGCGCAAAGCCCAGGAGCGTGCCCGCGAGATCCTGAAGGCCTCCCCGCGCGCGTGCCGGGAACCCGTCCGCTGGTCGCCCGCGCTGGCATGCTTGCCGCCGGCGTCCTGCTCTGCCGTTGCCGTCATGCTCTGCTGCTGCAGGTGCCTGCTGCTCGCCGCCGCTAACGCCCGCCCTGCCGCCCATGCCCATGCTGCTGCCGCGCGTCGCGCCCGTGGTGTTGCTAGCTGCCGCCGCCTCCGGTGCTGCGGTTCCCTTTCATTCTGCTGTCGCCCGCTGCAGCACCAGCGCAACGGCGCCCACGCCCTGGCCCTGTCGCAGGTCTGCTCCTCTGGACGTGGCGCGCGCGGCGTCCAGTCTGTCTAGCGTCTGGTCGCTCCTCCAGCTCTTCCTCGTCCTCCAGCTTAATTGGGCACCCTCGGCCTCCTCCTCCAGCTGCTCGCCCGCCTTCCTTCCAGCTCCTCCTCCTCATCATCATCATCATCCTCATCCTCCTTCATCTCCCCCTTCGCTTACGCATTTTACATCACGCCGCATCTTCGTCAGCTTCCCCCAGTCATCCTCACCCCACAAGGGGTCGGTACATCGGCGCGTTCAAGCGAGGAGCTTCGGAGGATGAATAGTCTCCTGGGCAAAACTAGCCTCGAGGACTTGGAGCAGACTTTGGAGTACGGTCAGGACCTCTGGCTTACAGCCGAAACCGATGATAGGGATGGGATGGGTAACCATCCCAAGGGTACCCTTGACTCCTTGTCTCTTCGGTTCAGCCTTCACCACTTTCGATGGCCAGCCCCGCTCGAAAAGGTTCGACATGGGCGTCCAAGGGGCTTGCATTCTTATAGCGCATCCTTACTAACAGTTTTGACTCCAGCATGTCGCGCTGCAGGTTCTGGCCCACCACGCTTTGGCGCGACACGTGATCCACATCCCAGCCCCCAGGCGTCAACGTCCCGAGCCTTTGTAAGCCGCCTGCCCCGCGGCGCGGAGCGGGGCGACACGCTATCCGCGTGCATGGCATAGCGTGTCGCCGGGGCCGCCGCCGCACCACGCTGAGCAAAAGCTCCTGACCGTAGGAGCTGGATGATTTCTGGGTGGATTTAGAGCTATCTTTGGAGCAGGTTTCTGTGCAGGCTAGGCTTGCTGCTCAGCGTGCTGCAGGCGGGCTGCGCCACTGGAACCCGCTGTGGAGCTCCCTATGGAGCCACGAAGCGTTGTACTGGGTGGGGGAGACGCGTGCGAACCGCGCCATTGGGACCTTCGGAGGAGCTTCCTATGGGGCCACGAAGCGCTGTGCTGGGCGTTGGAGACGCATGCGGGCTGCGCCACTGGGACCTTCGGTGGAGCTTCCTATGGGGCCACGGAGCGCTGTACTTGGTGGGGGAGACGCATGCGGGCTGCGCCTCTGGGACCTTCTGTGGAGCTCCCTATCGGGCCACGAAGCGCTGTAATGGGTGTTGGAGACGCATGCTGGCTGCGCCACTGGGACCTTCGGTGGAGCTTCCTATGGGGCCACGAAGCGTTGTACCGGGTATGGGAGACGCGTGCGGGCTGCGCCACTGGGACCTTCGGTGGAGAAGCCTATGGGGCCACGAAGCGCTGTAATGGGTGTGGGAGACGCATGCGGGCTGCGCCACTGGGGCCATTGGTGGAGCTGCCTATGGGGTCACAGAGCGCTCCTACTGGGTGGGGGAGACGCATGCGGGCTGCCCCACTGCGACATTCGGTGGAGCTCCCTATCGGGCCACGAAACGCTGTACTTGGTGTGGAAGACGCATGCGGGATGTGCCATTGGTACCTTCGGTGGAGTTCCCTCTGAGGCCACGAAGCGCTGTACTGGGTGTGGGAAACGCATGCGGGCTGCGCCACTGGGACCTTAGGTGGAGCTGCCTATGGGGCCACGGAGCGCTGTACTGGGTGAGGGAAACGCATGCGGGCTGCGCCACTGGGACCTTAGGTGGAGCTGCCTATGGGGCCACGGAGCGCTGTACTGGGTGGGGGAGACGCATGCGGGCTGCGCCACTGGGACCTTCGGTGGAGCTTCCTGTGGGGCCACGAAACGCTGTACTGGGTCTGGGAGACGCATGCGAATTGCGGAGGAGGGGGGAGGAGGAGATGAGAGGAGAGGAGGAAAAGAGCAGGAACGCAGGGCGCTGTCTCTTCAAAGTGAGGACCCAACGCCACAGGATGTCTGTGGAAAAAACAAGAACAAAATGCCCGCGACATACCCAACCCTTCCTCCGTGTGCGGTTACTGTCAAAAGGAGCGCTCATCACAACAAAAACACGTTGAGAGATGCGCAGCACTCTTGCCCACGGAAGTGCAGGCAGTTGCGCAGTTTGCAGCCTCATTGGGAGTGGCCATTGGCACACCGATTTGCGTCAGTAAACCGTCGCACACACACTAATGTTGAGAAGCTGTTACAGACACACCAAATTGGGATCCTGATTTGCGTCAGTAAGCCGTCACAGACACGACGCATTGGACATGTATTGTTGCCACTAAACAATGACATGCACACCAGACCTGGACACCGAGTTGCGTCAGTTGCAAAGAAGCTAACGCCAATAAGCTTGTGCAGGCACGCCAAACTGGGACACATATCTGGGTCAGCAAACCACTACAGATACAACACATGGGAAGCTGTTTGCACCAGTCAAATGTTATACACGCACACACCTAACTAGGACACCGATTTGCGTCAGTAAGCCGTAGCAACACACGATAACGTCAATCAGCTTTTGCAAGCACGCCAAACTGGGATACCGATTTGCGTCCGTAAACCGAGAAAGGCCCGACATGTTGGAACACATCTGCGCCAGTAAACCGTGACAAGCACATCAAATTGGAACACCGATTTGCGTCAGTAAGCCGTCTCAGACACATTAACAGTAAGAAGCCATTCCAGACGCCAAATTGGATCACACAGTTGCGTCAACACGCCGTCACAGGCACGACACAGTAGACATATATTTGCGCGAATCAGCCGATAGAGCACGCGAATAAACCGTTGCGGTCACACCGAATCGGGACACTGCTTTGCGTCAGTAAGCCGTCGCAAACACATTAACGTCAGTAACCATTACAAACACGACGGGACAACGAATTGCGTCAGTAAACCGTCACAGTCGTTACACAGTGGGACACTGATCCAGGCCAGTAAACACGGCTTGGCGCCAGTAACACGTTGGACTTCTTAGGAGCCCACGAAAGTGGCACAGCCACCCAACACCCACGGAGTTGCAAGGTCCCGTTTGGGTCCGCGTTTTCCCCGACTCCGCCGTGTTTCCCAGGAGCCCACGAAAGTAGCGCCAGTTGTGCAGTTCAAAGTCCCCCAGTGAGCTGCGAGGTCCTGTCTGGGTCCACGTACTCCCCGACTCCGCCGTGTTTCCCAGGAGCCCACGACAGTAGCGCCGGTTGCGCAGTTCGCAGTCCCCCAGGGAGCTGCGAGTTCCCGTCCGGGTCCGCGTACCCCCTGACTCCGCCGTGCCTCCCTTGAGCCCACGAAAATGGCGACAGTTGCGCAGTTCTTAGCCACCTAGGGAGTGGCGAAGTCCCGTCTGGGTCCGCATAGTTACTCCCCGACTCCGCTGGACCTCCCAGGGCCCCACGAATGTGGCACCAGTTGCGCAGTTCGCAGCCACCCCAGGAGCAGCGAGGTACCGTCTGAATCCGCGTACTGCCCGATTCTGCTTGACCTCTCAGGAGCCCACGAACGCGGCACCAGTTGCGCAGTTCGCAGCCACCCAGGGAGCAGCAGGTCCCCTCTGGGTCCGCGTACTCCCCGACTCCGCCGTGATCCCCAGGAGCCCACGAAAGTAGCGCCGGTTGCGCAGTTCGCAGTCCCCCAGGGGGCTGCGAGGTCCCGTCTGGGTCCGCGTACCCCCTGACTCCGCCGTGCCTCCCTTGAGCCCACGAAAATGGCGACAGTTGCGCAGTTCTTAGCCACCTAGGGAGTGGCGAAGTCCCGTCTGGGTCCGCATAGTTACTCCCCGACTCCGCTGGACCTCCCAGGGCCCCACGAATGTGGCACCAGTTGCGCAGTTCGCAGCCACCCCAGGAGCAGCGAGGTACCGTCTGAATCCGCGTACTGCCCGATTCTGCTTGACCTCTCAGGAGCCCACGAACGCGGCACCAGTTGCGCAGTTCGCAGCCACCCAGGGAGCAGCAGGTCCCCTCTGGGTCCGCGTACTCCCCGACTCCGCCGTGATCCCCAGGAGCCCACGAAAGTAGCGCCGGTTGCGCAGTTCGCAGTCCCCCAGGGGGCTGCGAGGTCCCGTCTGGGTCCGCGTATTCCCTGACTCCGCCGTGCCTCCCAGGAGCCCGCGAAAATGGCGACAGTTACTCAGTTGCGCAGTTCGCAGCCACCCAAGGAGCAGCGAGGTCCCGTCTGGATCCGCATACTCATTGACTCCGCTGGACCTCCCAGCAGCCCACGAAAGTGGCACCAGTTGCACAGTTCGCAGCCAACCATGGAGCTGCGAGATCCCGTCTGGGTCCGCATACTCCCCTTCTCCGCCGTGCCTCCCAGGAGCCCAGATGGCAGGAGTAGGAAACGGGAGAGGAGAGGAAAGTAGGAGTGGATACCACTGGGCTCTGCTCAAAACGAGAACCCAACGCAGTCACCTCTGGTCGTATCACATTCACTATTCTGCCTTCCCCGCTTGCCGCTCAATCATTCTAAAGAAGAGGTCGAGAGACGTCTTTTACGCTGGCCTCTTGCTACTGTACAGAGGCAGCGGCAAATTCAGGGGGGCCAATGTTCAAGGCATGCGCGCGGCGAAGGGGGTTGGGCTGCCTGGGAAAATTCTGCTTAACCTTCAAGACGGAAGAAGAGCATTCTAGCACGCCCCCACGGGCACAAAGACCCGGTGGCTGATATCTGCGGCGACGGCGACTTGCAACCCCCGGGCCGCCGCCCTCGAGGCCGCCGACCAGCAGGGCGGCCGCCCGGTGACCGACGACGAGCTCCTTTCGTGTCTCAGGCTGTGGGCATTCAAGGAGCCAGGAGGGAGCACAGTCGGACCGAGATGTAGGATCGAGGCCGGTTCGGGGAGGGTCTCCCAATGTTGTTCGTGTTTGTTGGACGGTCTCGTGCATCCTTGGGGAGTTTACCCTCGAGTGTTCTGCAGATGGGCCGACGGAGGGTCTGAGGGTCCTCGTCCGTCCAGGTCCGACCGTGCGCTGTCTCTCTCTCCTCGCGCCACGCGCGCTGGGAGTCTGCCTGGGCGTGCGGCCGCGCGCTGTGTCTGGCAGCAGGTCGTGGGAGACGTGTCCATCTGCGTCATGGGTTGTTGAGCGTGGAGCGGGGTGCGCCAGCGTCTCGTGGTCGACGGGGGAGCGCCGCTTTAGCGTCGACTAGCGTCGGATATCGATGACTATTAGCGTGGATTTATCGAGCTCCTCCTCCTCCTCCTCCTCCTCCTCCTCGAGCCTCTCCTCCGCCTCCTCCTCCTCCTCGTCCTCATCCTCCTCCTCAAGCTCCTTCTCCTCCTCCTGCTCCTTCTCGCGCTCCTCCTCCTCCTCCTCCTCCTCCTCCTCCTCCTCCTCCTCCTCCTCCTCCGCCTCCTCCTCGAGCTCCTCGAGCTCCTCCTCCTCCTCCTCCTCCTCCTCCTCCTCCTCCTATTCCTCGAGCCCCGATCTACCGTCGATCAGCGTCGGCTCGCATCGATTGTCGTCGATTAGCGTCGGTCAGCGTCGTCTCGCAAGAGCCAACAAATGGCATGGGAGGCTCCAGCTGGTTTCTGCCCGGCCGCCTGGCCCATTCTTCGATACATGGGCGCCTCTCGGCGCCAATGGGCGCCAGGAAAACCAGCTACATGAGCCGATTCTCTACCCTGCCCTTTGATCCTACCATTTCGTTCCCCCCGATCATTTTGCCCGAGGGGAGGGAGGAGGAGAGGACTCTAGAGCTGGAGCTTGGCCTGGCAGCTGCAGCTGTGCGCCCGAAGCTCGAGGGGCGTCCGACGGACAGCCTCGATCAATCTCTGCCCCACCGGAAGCCTATGTTCGAGCGTGTTTTGTTGGTGTCTTTCTTCCAGCGCGACAGTAAGCCAAGGACAGGTTGCATGCCTGATGTGATCCAGAAGACCTGCGCAAATACATACGGTCATGGCTCTGCAACAGCAGGGTGCGCATGCCACCCAATACCTTTTGAAGGCGGCGCCCGTGTCCAGAGTGAATGGTGCAATAGACCATGTAGTTATAAGTTTGGACTGCGTTTGGGAAGCAGGCGGGTATGGTTACGATGCTATACACACTGCGGAGACAATGTGCCAACAGTTTGTTTGGAGGTGGTTTCTGTTGTAGCGCCCACAAGAAATTCACCCCTCGTGCACTTGACCGTGGCGACAGATCCGCCACGCGGAAACCTCAAGACGATAGCGAAGCGGGCCGGTGAGTGGGAGACCCGCACCTGGCGTAAAGAGACCTGTCGCACGCACCCCGGCTTGGAACCATAGCATGGGCAGGGACACTAAGCAGACCTCGCGTACGGCTTCCAGTTGTTCCACACTTGGCAACCCTTTGTCACTGCAGGGGCGCCGGCGGCGACGGCATCCAGGACTTCATTATACACACCGCCAGCATCGGTATTATTTTCCCGGTTGATATGCCGGACATGAGTGGATTGCCAGACTCTTCTCGCAATGCCTAGAGCAACGCCGTTGTTCGCTCATAGAGTTGCCAGAGGGAACGCGCTCTGCACCTCCATTTGCCATTCACCTGGTCCCCTACTATCGTGGAATCAACATGAAACACACACGATGGTGCACCATAACCTTTGACATGTTGCATGCATTCAAGCACGCCCGCATACTCGGCATGATTGTTGCTAACACCCCCAGAAAACAACCGAAACTTGCGTCGACTCTGCGGGCTCCTTCGGCGTACTGGACACACCCGAAAGAGGCCAGTCGTTCCATTGCGGTGCCTTGGTTGCGCGCTGCTCCGTCTGAAGCGTACAGCACGACACCCGGTGCAAACTCAGGCGGCTGAGCGCGCATCCGTCGGCGCTCTTGCCGTGTCGTGTTGGCCGGTATTCCCTGTTAACCATGGGTCGTTGCACAGTTGTATGGCGTGCAGGACCATGTCATCAAAGGAATGGAAATTCTCCCTGTCAAGTAGCAACCGACGCAGACGCGCCACCGCATTAGCGAACGCAAGGCACATTGCAAGATGGATGCGCTCAGGAGTAGGTTTTGCAGCCACATGCCGCGGGAACTAAGCTGAGCGCACTGTGTAGGGAAGCGGGCCTGTAGAGATGCAAGTTCGGGGCAAACATCTCTGTGGCGCACCGAATCTCCATCAGCAACACCATAGAAAGGGCAGGCCATCACCGAATAACCGCTCACCAGAGCCAGCCTGTGTGGCGTGAGTTCACCGTTTAAAAGTTTCGGCACGATGGCCAAACTATGTTCTCCAGGCACGTTCGACGGCATCTTTCAGCCACGCGCAGAGGGGGGTGGGGGTAGGGGGAGAGCTTCTCAGAAACACCCCTGCTTCTTGGAAGGCGCGGGTCTCATCTATAGATGTAAGGCTGGCGCCTTCTCCTCCTAAGAAGCCCTCCCTCCTCCCTCCAGCCCCTGGTGCGCGCCGCCAAGTTCTCCAGGCACGTTCGACGGCATCTTCCGCAAATTCCGATCAACGGGGCCCCAGGAGAGACCGCGCGCACCAGGCCCGCACCTTGACAAGCGCTGCAGCTCCGCGAGCCTCGGCCTTGTGGAGGCAACGACTCGAGTACCGATGCCAACCGGCCCCCTTGGCTTCATAATTGCTTGGGCGTTTTCGTTCGCCCAATGCCTCGGATACCGTGTGCCCCGTAATCGTTAAGAAAGCATCGAATGTTTTCGCATAAGATGCCAGCGGTCGCAGGATAGAGCGTGCAGCTGGCGCCGCAAGTCCCGCATGCTCGTCAGAATCATAATCTGCGACTGACTAATGCGGCCGGCTCTTTCCATCCGGAGCGAAGTGGATAACAAGCAGCAGCGCTCTCCAGGAACGGATCCACAGCTTCGACTGCGGTTCGAAACAAACCTCTCGCACGGCAAAACACATAAAAAAGGGTACCAACTCACGCGCCCCAGGAAGGACGTTGCAATTCCATGCACCTCGTTAAGCACAGCCAGCAGAGTTTCACAATGTAAGAAATCAGCGGCAGTGAAAACACGTTCCATGCGAGGAGCCGCGTGCCAAGACTTGTGTTGGCTTGCCCAAGAATGGCGAGCCGCTGCCGTAACTTGGCAATCGGCTCAGCCACGACATCGGCTTCGTTCGCCCCAGGCCCATACCAGAAACCGAGAGATTTATGCCGGCGCGCAACCACGGGATCTTCGAACAACGAACGCAGCCATTGCAGCTCATGTTGTGCAAGAGCACGATTGGGCATCCAGCATGTTTTGGCTCGAGCAGCCTTTGGAGGGCTGCTGGAAAGGGTCCCTTTTCGAGGCCCCTGAACGGGCCCTTTCGGGTCCAGAAGGGAGCCTTCAGGGCCAGAAACACATACTTTTCTTCCCCCCCTCGTTTACCGCCCCCCATGAATTCGCGCTCAAGGCTTTGGAAAGGCAAACGCTCGACTCAGGCTTCGCTGGCGGAGGAGGAGGAGGAGGAGGAGGAGCATCGCTCGCCATGGGGGAAGCGGGTCCTAAGGGAAACGGGTTCCTGAGGTTTCTCGCCGTTTTCAGGCTCTCGGGGCCCTCCACGGGCCTCGGGACTATCAGAGAGCAGCTCAAGAACAAGATCTCGTCCTGGGGAAGGCCCCAGGGTCCAGGACCTGTTTCCCTCAGGATCAGTTTCCCCACTGCTACAGTGCAGTGGTTTTGGTATTGTTGTGCATGTTTCGTGCGTGCGGAGGACTACGGAGGCCTTCCGAGGCCTTCGACAGCAACACCTTTGGAGACATCCGCGGATCGCCGCGGCTACCTACGGATGCCTCTAGAGAACGAGGGAGGATCACTGACCATGCTGCCAGATCCCTACGAGCGGGGCTGACGTAGGTGCTGTCAGTTGGAGGACAGATGCACTGTCGCGAGCCACCCCTCAGCGCGCATCTTGCGAAGCGCGGGTGACAGGAGAACACGAACCGGACTAACGTGACTCCAGAGGGCGAGACGTTCGTCTATTCGGACACCATTGGCCTCATTAAGATGTCAGCGGGGTGGATTTAAGGGCCATGGGAGTTGACAACCTCTGGGTCTTGATTGAGCGAGAGACCTGTACAGCAACGCATGTGCATGGTAAGGTGGGAGCAATCATAGAAGATGGCTGAACAAACGGCACGAGGACAGTTGACAAGTATTCGTGGTCCGCAAGGAGTGGTGCGAAGTTGCCACGCGTGGGATTGCGCACGTGTCATAGTCGTACAATGGTGTCAAGGGTTTGCCAGTGGCATGGTCTGAAACTCCTGGAAGTCACACCATGCGTTTTGTTCACACACTGGAAAATCACGTCCAGCTCTGCCACAAGACCCGCCATCATGCCAGCGTTTCATCAACATCACATATGTTATGTCGAGATCTCCCGAACAGGCTCGGTAGAAGTAAAGTCAGGGGCATCTGGGAAGGAGTAGCGTTGCGATGCTGCAGCGTGGTGCGTCTGTGCAGTTGCACGACTGTTGCGCTGCCTGGGAGCCTCTTTGAGAGACTTTTGGAGCTTCAGGGGAGGCGTCTGGGGGGCTTCTGCCAAGGGAGGACAAACCACCCGGACCCGACAATGGACATTTATCAAACGGCCTTGGGCGTTTACTAAACAGCCTTGTCCTGTTCGATTTCTTCCTTGGGTGCGTTTGCGAAACGGCTTCTGTCGGGGTGATTCGTAGGCGGTGGGGGGGATTTTCGACCCTCTATTCTGGAGGTCTTTCAAGAAGCCTTCGGGGGTCTTCAGGCCGTCTTGGACGTCGTGAGCTGGGCGGGTGTGTCGAGGTTTCGCCTGCTGCCCGCGCCGCCCGTGGGCGCCTCGCGGGCGCCTCGTGGGCGCCACGTGGGCGCCCCGTGCGCTGTGTGTGTGTGTGTGTGCGTGTGTGTGTGTGTGTGTGTGTGTGTGTGTGTGTGTGTGTGTGTGTGTGTGTGTGTGTGTGTGTGTCTGGCCCGCCGACGCAGCAGCCGCCGTGGGCCCGCCCGCGGGGCTGGCCGCGCCGCCGCTCGGGGAGGGACCCGTCCCGCCTGAGCCGCGCGCTCCGTCCGCCCCTCTTCCGGCCGCGCCCTCCCCCCGCTCCTCTTCTTGCATGGTGGCACAATTCGCTCTAACGGCATCCCCGTTTACGCACGAACCATCGCCAGCGCAGGAGTCCCCTTGCCTAGCCGCCGGCGCAAAAAGTGTGTGTGTGTGTATGTGTGTGTGTGCCGAGGTGTCGGCTACAGTGGAGACCCATGCCAAGAAGACCTTGCTTGCCTCCAAGGTGCCCTGGGTTCCTTGGGTTTCGATGGTTTTGCTATGGACAGCGTGACGCTCCCACACCAAAAATCAATAGACGTCTCAGGGTCTCAGGGTTGGGTTTCTCGTGGAAGGCTTCTTGTGGACGGACCTCCACTGTAGTGCCCGCCCGTGGGCGCCTCGTAGGCGCCTCGTGCGCCGGGCGGCCGCGTAGTTTACAGGGCACAGCTTGTGCCACCCGGTTTTTGCCGCACAGCCTTGCGCCACTCAGCTTGCACCCAGCAGGTTGCACCGCGCAGCTCACACCACATCGCTTGTGCACCACGTAGCATGCACCGGGTATCTTACACCACATCTGCGGCACCACATGGTTTCCAGCACATGCCTTTCGCCAAGTAGCTCGCACATCACCCGTGCAATACCTTATTGTTTGGGGTCCTCGGTGACAAGCATTGTTTGAAGGGCTTGATTGAGGGACCTCAGAGTAAATTCAATTACCGACATCATTGAAACAGCAAATGTTTATCGAAAGGACTGTCCAAACGCAGCCTCAGCACCTGATTTTGGACGGGTTGTCGAAACTGCACAATCGTTGAAGCCCATGCTAGTTTCACCTGTTCTGCAGTTCACCTGTGCTCGGACAGCCCGATGCCCGTGCACGCATAATAAGTGCTTGAACAGGTTTGTCTCCGGTCGGAGGTCCGATGAGGTCAGCGGTCCAACATCAATCTCGGACGGTAAGCACATCAAGTTCAATGCCTACGTACAGCAGCCCCGCAGAGGCTCGAAGAAGTCCTCGGACGCTGCTGGCAGTCCCCATCGTAGCCCCGACCTGTATCAAAGGGCCCTCGCTTCTTCCACGTCCTTCTTCTCGTGCTTCTAGTCCCTCTTCCCTTTCCCTCTTTCCTTCGTCGTCCTCCTCTTTCCTCCTCCTTCTTGTCCTCCTTAATGTCCTCATTGTCTTCCACGCTGTTCCTCTCTTTATGTTCCTCTCGGTCGTCGTCTCCGTCGTCCTCGCCGTCGTCCTCGTCCTCTCCCGCCTTGTCCTACTCGTCCTTGCCGTCCTCCTCGAGAGCCTCGTCCTCCTCGTCATCCCCGCTTCCCCCTCTCATCCACGCTAATCTGCTCGTATTCCAAGCTGCCGTCCTCCTACGCCTCCTCGTCGATGTTGTCGACATCCGTCCTCCCGAGCTTGTTCTCATCGTCTTCAATATCCTTGTCTTCGTGCTTATCGTTTTCCTGGTACGGTAGGTTTGCGTCGTGTCGACCAGCGGCGACCCCAGCGCGGGCGTTCAAGGTTGAACGCCGCCGGCGACCCAGAATCGATCGATGTTGAACGATCGGACGTTGCGGCAGCGGCCGATCGTTCAAGGTTGAACGATCCCTGCAGTGTCAAAAACCAACGCTGGGGTCGGCACGACACGAACCTGCCGTAGTCCTCCTGGTCCTCCGCGCTGTCCCCTCGTCCTCCACGCTGTTCCTCTTCTCACCCGCCTCCTTGTCGTCCTCCGCTCCCCTCTTCTCTTGTACGCCTTTGCGAGCCGAGCGGACCAACAGCGGCGCTTCCCGTTCTTGTCTGACCAGGCTTGTTCCCCGAACATCGGGCGAAGGGAGCTATGCACATGCGCCGATCCTGGCAAGGCCCATCCTTGACCCAGGATCGGTGCATATGCCTTCCTGGCCAAGGTAGGGCCTATGCACCGATCCTGGGCTCAGGATGGGCCTGGCCAGAATCGGTGTATGGACATAGTTCTCTCTCCTCTGGAGCAGTGCCTGCATGCAGGGCTCCTGTCACCCAGCTCCTTGGCTGGGCCTCCCGGGCTGCCGCCCCGCTGGCGCCCGGGGCCCGCTCTCGGGGTCGCCCCGTGGGCGTCCAATGGAGCGCCGGGTGGGCTCCCCGGACGTCCGCCGCGTTGGCGCCGGAGAGCCCGCCCGTGGGGTCGCCTCGTGGGTGCCCCGTGCGCCGGGCGAGCTTCCGAGGTCCCGCCGCGTGGGCGCCTCGGGGGGGCCTCGCGTACACGGCAGGGCCTGCGCCGCAAGCGCTCGCGCCGCACAGCTTGCAGCGCACGGCTTTCGACCGCGTAGCTCGCGCCGCGTGGCTCGAGCTGCACAGCTGTCACCCCACAGCGCACCACACAGCCTACGTTGCATTAACTCGAGCCACACGGCTTGCACCGCGTGCCTCACGCATCATAAATAGAGCCACGTAGCTTGCGCCGCATAGGTCGCTCCCCATAGCTCACACAGCACAGCTTGCACAACATAGCGTACACCGCGTAGCTCACGCAATATACCTACACCACATAGAAACATACTTTACACCACATAGATTGCACAAAGTAGCCTACACCGCATAGCTTGCACCGCATAGCGCATCTCCACAGCGTAATAATTTACTGCTTGGAGTCCACGCTGGCTAACGCTTGATTTTGTTTGAAAGCGTTGCGGGGGAATGCTGGTGTCGTGCGGACAGCCTGCCACGCGTGCGCCCCAGACTCCCCAAGTCTGTCGAGTGGCCTTCGTTGACCGCTTCGCCTCGGGCGGTTGAATCATTCCGTGGCGCGACTGGCAGGTGTTTCACGCTAGGTTGCGCCAGCGCGAAGTCACCCCAGGAGTTCGCGCCCCCCCAGCGTGGATGCCACATGTGAAGGTTTCCTTCCTCCAGACATCCCGCCGCCCGGACGGAGCGCAACGTTAAGCGTGCCCTGGCTGATTAGACATCTCCGGAGGGAAGGACGCCAAGCGTAGACGCCCGACGATTGCCAGAGAACAGCTGTACACGTGAGAGCGCAGGCAGTCATGCTGGAGCAAGCGTCATGCATGCCGCAAGCTTCTGCCACGCAGCACTTGTGCGACCAGGGGGGGGCGGGGGAAGAAGGGGGGGAGGGCGGAGGCTCCGCTTGTGCGTGGGGGGGAAGGGGCCCCGCCGCCATCGGCTTCAATTTAGCGCGAGGGACTGCTTGAGCACATCTGGTCGATGAAAGATGGGGGCAAATATAACACGGGACGCGCCCGTCGTGTCAGCCAAGGAGCCAGCATACAACAGGATTCACATCACTGCGCGGGTGAGGGATAACGATGGGTAACTGATACTTCAGATGGGGCTTCACATCTGTTCAATTTGCACGCTGCGTTTGTATATTTGTGGTGGATCGAATGGACATCTTCACTCTTCGCCCAAGTCACGCATCTCAGATAGTCTCCGCGGCGAAGTAGGGATAAGAGCTGGAGCAACACATATACAGAATCTCAAGAGGCTGTTCGGGGGAATACGCCACGCTAGGCCACAGTAGAACCCCCAGCACGAGCTCTCATGTAGCCAGGGTCTTCAGAACAAGAGAAGGCGTACAGCAAAATATTGCCCGTGCTCTCCAGCAGGAAAGGTTTACATAATGCGTTTGAGCATGTGTTCACGGTGCACCAGTAACACGATGAATTCCAGTTGCATTTTACTAATGCGTAAGATGTTTCCGTTAGACCGCGCCGAGGTCCACCTGCGAAAAGACATTGTTGACCGCTGGCACGAAGCGTTATGAGGAGTTCACGATGTTGATTAACCGTTGGTTTAAGGACAGGATGCCCAACGAGCTAAAGGACGCCTCCGATTGTCCCGTGGGTGAGAGGGGGAGTGGAGAAGGACGGCGACGACGATTGCGGGAGTGCGATGGACAGCAGAAGATTCACTTGAACCTTCATGGTGCCGGCGTTCGCCTGCCTCGGGGCCTGTTGTGGATCTGTCCCGGAGGAAGCCCACCGATCAGAAGTCTGTCTGCCCCTCTGGGGAGAGAGCGCCTGCGGGGCTTGTGGCGCTGGCCCCCCCGCCCGTGCTCTGCGCGCTCCCCCTCCGCTCGCGCAGCCCCGGCCCCTTCCCTCCTCTTGGCATCGCTCGGACGTGTGCATGTTTCCTTCGGCGAGGATCATCGAGGAGCATCCTCGATCATTTGGCGAAAAAGCCTTGCACGAAACCAAGAACAAGCACAGGGAACCGACGTCCGAGCGATGGCGAGTCCCTGCGAGGGCAGCTTCGGGTACACGTCCATCAACATCAACAAGAACTACGCAGGCGGGGCCCCCTGGGCGCGCGGGCTCGCCGCGTCCGTCGTCCCCATCAGGAAGCTACACGCCCACGAGGTACGCCAAGCTACGGAAGTGCGCATGTTGTCCGTTCTTGGGGCGTGTACTGTGTGTGTGTGTGTTGTAAAGTGTCCCCAGTCTCCGGCGCAGGATGAGGAGAGAGAAGGAGAAAGAGAGAGAGAGAGAGAGTAAAGGACTGGCCCGCGTGTTGCGCGCTCGCCGTCCCAGGGGAACGGCACGGGAGGAGAGCGCGCCCGCGCGCCCACAGTGCGGGTGTGTGCGACCGCGCGTGACCCTCGTCTGGGCGGCTCCATCCCGCCCGCGAGGGCACCTCTGAGACGCCCTGCTCGCCAGAGCGCCAGCCTGCTTCAGCGCCCGCGGTTCGCAGCTTCCTCCTCTGCCGCACGGAGCTTCACCACCGCCGCCAGGCCTCGATCGGAAGGCTGGCGGGGAGCTGCCTGGGAGGACCCCGCTGTGCGACTCTTGATTCTCTAGATTGGAGCGATGGTGGCGACGCCAATAGGGGGAGGCGGCGGGAGGTCCAGTAACGTCCAGTACTTCGGAACTGTTGCGCGAACTCTTGCGAGAGTTATTGCTGGGGACACGAACTATTACAATGGGTGTAAACTATCAAGCTGCCTGCGGCAAGTCCCGCCACCATACCAGCCCAGAATTCTGGTGGCGACTGTTCGAGGGAGCACAGGAGTCCGTCCCGTGTGGCATCTCGTATCTCCAGGTTTGCGACAGCTGTAACGATGATGATGGGTATGATGGGCATGATAATGAAGGTGGTGGTGATGGTGTTGATGTTGGCGTTGATGTTGATGGTGATGATGGTGTTGATGCTGAAGAAGATGATGGCGGCGACGACGGTTATGCAGATGATGATGATCAGGATGATGGTGTTGATGATGATGATGATGATGATGATGATGATGCTGATGATGATGATGATGATGATGATGATGATGATATCGATGGTGGTGATGATAACGATGACGAGTATGATGCTGATGATGTTCATGATGATGCTGATGGTGATGATGAGGATGATAGTGATGGTGATGATGATGATGATGATGATGATGATGATGATGATGATGATGATGACGATGCTTCTGGTGGTGATACGACGATAATGATGACGATGAGGACGATGACGTTGACGATGACGTTGACGATGAGGCTGATGATACTGGTGATGATGCTGATGATGATGCTGATGATGATGGGATGATGCAAATGATGATGATGTTGCTGTTGATGACGAGGGCGACGATGATGTTGTTGATGATGGTAATGATGATGGTGATGATTATGGTGACGAGTGATGGTGATGATGATTAACATGTTGTTGATGATGATGTTGGTGGTGATGACGATGCTGATGATGCTGATGATGATAATGACGACGCCTTTGACGATGACGATGGCGAGGATGTGGATTAAGACGGCGACTATGATGATACCGACGGTGATGGTGATGATGGTGAGGACAATGATGATGTGGATGATGATTACGGAGATCATGCTGATAAAGATGGTGATTGAGGATGGATAGTGATGGTGATTACGATGATGGTGATGATGGTGATGTTGATGATGATGATGAGGTTGATAATGATGCTGATGATGATGAAAGTGATGATGGTGGTGGAGGTGGTGCTGGTGGTGATGATGATGGTGATGATGGCAGCGACGCAGCACGGGGAGAGCTCGCCGCGCGCGCGTGGAGCGCGCGGAGCGCGGGGAGGCCGGCTGCACCGGGACGGCAACAACCAGGGCCCATCGATGATCAAGGCAGGGGCGCGAGGGTGAGAGAAGGAACAGGGTGCCCATATCGCCACCCTTGCCTCGTTGCCGCGTTCCTGGGCCTCTTCGGGGGCCCCCGTCGCCACGGCTGGATTCGCCGTGAGGCTCTGGTCAGAACAAGCCCCGGGAGAGGTCCAGGGAGCAGGCGGTATCGGTACCGTGTTGTCCCCGAGAGTGGTGGCGGCACGGCGGCGGCGGGGAGGCAACGACGGCGGTGGCCAGCGGCGGCGGCGACGACAAGGGCCCGTCGACGATGATCAAGGCGGGGACACGAGCAATGATGCATTGTGGTGAGGAGGAAAGGGCGCCTTTGTATGACTGCTCAGAGTGTGTGAGATCGAGTTGGTAAGTATATGTTGCTTATTGTCGCAGTCAGCTGCAGCCAGCGCGTCGGCGCTGCCTCCGCCAAGCGCATGCGCACACGTTCTGTCCAGCCCGTCTGTCGGGCTTGGCACGGGGGGGTGATGTCACGCATGGTGTCGAATTGGGCAGCGGGTGCTGCTGCGCCAGAGTGTGCGCGAGGAGGGGGGGGCGACAGGCTGGGGGACGCGAGGGGCAACGGGTCGAATGAGTGGAGAGGGCAGGGCGGCGAGCAGGGCTGGATTACCCGCAGGGCGCAGGGGCTCGCAGATGACCGCGCTTCGCGGTTTGATCCGTACGCTTGTTCTTCTACAGGGGGAACAGCGCGAGAGCACGAAAATGACCGCGCTTCGCGCAGCGCGACGCGCGACGTTGCGTGGCCTGTGTTGCCGAGCAGAGCGTCGAGCTGAACGTCGGTGAGTGAGGCTCGGATGGTCTGCTTCTGGAGGTCGATTCTTTTCGTGATCGTCTGGTTCAGTGGATCGCCCTGCCAGATGACCAGCCACATCCAGGTAGCTTGACAAGCTAGGGGCGGCACGGAATCAATCGATCGTGCCACATAACAAAAGCGTTCGGGAGGCCTTCGGGGAGTTTGTTGGCGGGGAGCTGAATTATTGGCCGCACGACGACAAGAAGCTCCCCCTGGAGGTGGCGCCGGGGAATGAGTCTGCTTGACGCTCCTTTCACGTGATCCTCGCACGTCTTCTTGGCCAGGCAGGGCGAGAGAGGAAGAGAGAGAGAGAGAGACAGAGGGAGACCACACGTGATCAGAGAGAGAAAGAGAGAGATGAAAAGAGAGGGAGAGAGAGAGAGAGAGAGACATGCACACATTTACTTATTACATCGATGTATACTCACATGGAGGCAGAGGTGGACGCAGAGTGGGAATCGAGGAGACGCGTACATGAGGTTAGGGGGTATGGCGGTGTCACGAGCGCTGTCTGCAAATAGCAGGACCGCTTATAGACGGTGTCGGTTTCCTTCAGCAGGAGTCAGTCGGTCGAGTAGTTCCTCGAATGCTTCGAGACATGTTCCCCGTCAGTTTGGCAGCTATACTCCTTTCGAGCATGTTTGTTACAGCAGCTCCGCTACATGAATTAGATTGCGAATTTAGTTAGGATCGCCTGAATGACCACTGGACCTCAACTAGAACATGTCTTTCTTTGAAAGGCTACACACGCAGAGCAACGCAGCCATGCAACATGCATTGCCATGTACAGCACAGCGTACCACAGCAACACAGATCATATCAAGGTCTCGCATATCGTAGCATTTTGTAGACTTGCATGGATATCGCAGCATCGCAGCATAGCATCGCACAGCATGGCACAGAACAACACTCTCAGAATTTGCGCGGACGTCGGCGCCCAATTCTTGAGGAAAGTGCGTAATCACCATTATGTGCGTTTGTCGCAACATAGGAAGCCAGAAACTTTTCGACACGCCTATTTGATACGTAGTCGACATCCCACGACAGCAGACAACATAGAGCGAAGCCTAGGCAGCGCAAACGGTGCTAATAGTGCGAACAACTTTGAGCAAGGAAAGTCAGCCAATCAAGCGGACGAAGCCAAGCCAAGACGAGCGAAACAGAGCCTGGTTGAGCCAAGGTGAAGACACGCCGAACCAGATGTAAGCTGAAGAAAAGCTATAGCAGATCCACGCAAAGCTAAGTCAAGCCTGTCCAGCGCAAGCACAGACATGCTACGGCGAGAAAGCGCGAAGCTGAATTGACGTTAACGCTGGGACTGAACTCGACGCTACGCCAAAGAGTGCTCATGTGGAGCCGCGCTAGCCTGGAGGCGGGCGGGGCTGGGGGCTCGAGCGCGTGGGCTGCAGCCAACCCCCTCCCCACGCACCCCTTGGGGGTAAACCCGTCCCTCGTCCCCGTCCGTCGTTTCCGCTGGGTTTGCCAATCTCTCCTCGCAACCGCGCTTCCTCGTCCCTGTCTCGCGCAGAGTTCCCGGCCTTCTCCTTGCCCAGCCCTGCGCTGGACTCGCGCTCCCCCCTGCTGGTGCGGCCTTGATCCTCCGAGCGCCAGATCTGCACATTTCGAGTGCACTCCAGATGCATTCGCATGGCAGTGTTTCTCTCACGACTCGGGCGGGCATGCGCACAGACTCTGAACGAGCAGTCGCGCACTGGCCTCACGCACTCCTAACTCCCGCGCAGCTCCTCTCGCACCCACCAAGCTCGCACCGCCTGGACTCGCAGAGGGGATGGACACTCGCGCACGCGAAATGGAAGGCCGACCTCCTGCGCTCGAAGTTCGGGCTTCCGGCGGTGATGGCGGTGACGGCGGCGGCGGCGCGGTGGTAGCATCACCACCGGAGCTCTCGAGCCCACCTCTCCGCGCACGGGTCGATGCGTGAGGCCCCCAAGCCACGAGACTTTAGCGAGGTTAGGATCTAAGGGGCAGGCGAGGATCGACCTCCAGCGCTCCAACTGGCGCCGTGGGCAAGGCCACTCCCCTCGGCCTGCCTGGCAGGAGTTCGACGACAGCAAGAAGATCACCATGAACATTCAGGACCCCAGCTCCGCGGCTCGCGGTTGAGGTCCCATTCCTTCGCTAGACCTCCCCCTCTCCTTTCCTCTCTCCACCCTCGCTCCCCAGATTCACTGCTCATTCCCCCCCCCTCCCCAACCCTCCCCTCTCTTCCTTCTCCCCTTCCACTCCCCGCTCTCCCTCCAGCTCCCTTCTACTACTTCGTCTGATGTATTTACCGTCTCCGACCTCTCTTCGTACCCATGTCCCATCCAGTCAAATGCTTATCTTCCAGCCACCCTTTTACCCATGGCGTGGCTCTCTCTTGCTCCGCTGGCAGCGGACACCGGGATACCAGAATGGATGGAAGACAGTGAAGTTTCCGACGAAGGACAACATCATGCTCTTTGATGGCAATCGCGGCCACTGTGTCAACGACTTCCACGGCGAGCGGTACACTCTAGTCTTCTTCAGCATCCGCACATGGAACAAGGCGACTCCGCTTGCATACGAACGCAATATTACTCGCCCCGCGCAAGCGTACGGCAGTGTCTCTTCTTCAGACTTGCGCGCACCTCTAGTCTTGCTCGCTCGCGCGTGCAAGTGCAACGGCGGGCTTGGCAGTGCACGCACGAATGCACGTACGCTAATCCAGTAAGCACTCCACCAGCCATGACATTGTGCAGACGTGCTGTCCAAGGGACACCGGGTGCAATGCGCGCACCTGCACGTGCGTAGATTCGAACAGTTGTCTGTCAGACTAGGCACATCGTTGAGTCTTCGCTCTGGAGCACACCTAGCTGAGAGCCCGTTCGAGCGAGATGTCGACATTCTGTGCGATGTTCGATGAGTCGAAGTTCGCTCGAAGGCCGCTCGCCTCCTGCTTCCCTTTCCCTTTCCCCCCTAATCCCGCCTCCTCCTCCTCCTCCTCGGCCCTCCCCTTCATCTTTCGAGATTCCTCTTCCCTTCTCCATCTCCTCGACCTTTCACTTCCTCCCCCACCCTCGTCTTCCTTGAGTTGTTTTTCTTCGACCTCGTCCCTCTCCTCCTCTCCTCACCTTCCTCCTCCTCCTCCTCCTCCTCCTCCTCCTCGACCTTCCCTTTCATCCTTCCTTATTATCCATATCCCTGGCCCCGCGCTGAGCGTGCGTGTGCTTCCCTATCAGTGGTCCCGCACTTGTCTTTGGGTGGCCGTCAGTGGCAAGCTGGCCTGAGGAGATGGAGGCGGAGGCGGCGGAGGAGGAGAGAAGAGGAGGAGGAGGAAGGAAGAGGCAGGCTCTGGGCGGTGCCCCATCGCTAAGCCCATCAAGTGATTCTTCCTCCCTGCTCGATCTTGCCATGAGGGAAAGCAAGACCTGAGGGGTACGAGTCCTGGCCCCCATGGGCTTCCTCATCCATCCTCCTCCTCCTCCTCCTCCTCCTCATCATCATCATCATCAGCATCATCATCAGCATCATCACAGTATCCTCATCCTCATCCTCATCCTCATCCTCATCCTCATCCTCATCCTTCTTTCTCTCTCCTCCTTCCTCCCCCTCCCTCATCTCCCCCTCCTCCCTTTTTCTCCCTCCTCCTCCTCCTCCTTCTCCTCTTCCCCAGGGTCGTGAGGACGCCGAGGCCAGTGCGCTGCCCCAGCGAGCGGAGTCCGACTTCTGGCGCCGGCTGGAGCCCTGGACGGCACAGGGTGCCGAGTGGCCGTTGCTCGGTCATGCCCAGGGCCGTTCCTGGAGTCCCTCCCTCCCTCCCTCCCTCCCTCCCTCCAGGTCTCGAGGCCCGGGGAGGCCGGAACGACGGCGGGAGGCCCGCGAGGCTTCCAGAGGTCTCGGGAGCTCCACGGCAACGTCAATCGGCAGCGCGCCCAGGGGTGAAGGAAAGAGGGAGAGTGCCTCCTCAGGAGGCGGCGGGGCTTCTCAGAAGGCCGGAGGCCTTCTGAGTGCTTTTCTGTGTCTTCGGGGGAGGCTACGAAAACTTCTCAGAAGGCCCAGGGAACTTCTGAGCCTTCTGAGAAGGCGCGCCCCTTCTCACTTCCCCCCAGGCTCGCCGCCGAGTCGAGCAATCTCTATCGCAGGTCCCTCAACAGTTCGATCCGTCCAAAGCGATCAAATCAATCGCTTCATTGTTAGAGGCCTCCTGGATGGGGTCGGAGTAGATGAGGTCGGAGGATCGCGCCGCATTGCCGATCCTGGATGGGGTCGGAGTAGATGAGTAGATGAGCCGCATCGCCCATGCATCGGCGATGCGCCGCGATCCTCCGACCACGTTCCCTCGGACCCCATCTGGGAGGCCTCTATCATTGTTGCCTCTCCTCCGCGCGCGGGGCGAGGTGCCGGCCGAGGACCTGAAGGAAGCCCTCCGGTGCGGCATCCCCGTCCCCACCCAGGAGCAGCGGCGCGCATGGGGGGCCACGCACCTCGCGCCCTGACACTGCCCCAGCAAAGCACCCCAAGAGCAGGAAGGGGGAGGCAGGCCGAGGATCCGCCCAGGTGGCGGCGCAGGCGGGGGCGCGCGCGTGCAGCGGCGGCGTGCGCAGGGCGACCGACTGCCTGCGCGTAGCGCCGGGCTGCACGGTCAGATTGGGTCAGCAAGGCAGACGTGACCAGGGCCCGACGGCCCCGAAGATTCTCTGGGCGCGAAGAGTTGTTGGGGTATGCGCGGGAAGATGCCTTGGAGGTGGGAGATTCGCGGGAATTCGCGGAGAGATTCTTTGAAGATTCCAGGGCGGTCGTGCTTGCCCTAGTCGACCCAGTCCAGCGTCACGGTCAGGAGCTTTGGGTCCTCAGCGTGTCGCGCAAAGCCTACGCTGGCCCGCCGCGCTTCGGCGCGGCGCTGGCTGGGACTGTATTGTTTTGACACCTCGGGTCTATGTTCTACGAACATTGCTTTTGTTCTTAGAACATTTTTGGGTTCGAAGAACATGCCGTGGTAGGCCTATAGGAATGCCAGGACGGTCGGTCCCTGCTCAATCTCCGAGCCTCCCGCCCCGCAGAGCGGAGTGGCACGCTATCGGCCTGCAGGGCATAGCGTGTCGCCAGGGCCGCCGCCGCGACACGCCAAGCAGAAGTTCTGAACTCGGAGGCAACGAGGCAGGGCTCACTTCGACTCCTCCGGCTCGATTCGGTTCGATCGCGATGGCTTCCCAGTCCGATTCGATTCAACTTCGGATTCCACGTTGGATTCCGATTTTCAGCTGCAGGCCTGCTAGCATGCCGATTCCCGCCGATTCGACTTCTCCCGACTCGGCTGCCGATTTCCGCCGATCCGATTCATTTCGATCGCCGATCCGACTTATCGATTCGATTCTGGGCTCTCGTGCGATGGGGGCGAGTAGCCCAGGGGCGGGCGTTACACGTACTCGCCCGGGAGCCTCGCCGAAGGCATGGACCATCGGCGCCCTTGGATACATGCATTGTTCTCCCCTGGGCTGTTCGCCCCCATCGTCGCCCCCGATTGACCCTAACGGCAGAGAAGGTGAAGAGGTGGGCCGATTAGCAGGAGGTCAGCCAGTGAACCGGTGCATTCCAGGGCACAGTCCTAGGGCTTCCCAGGAAACACACGAAGTGCTGGAATGGTGTTCACTTCTTCGTTGGGAGTGTGCGCGGGATTGGAGTTAGGGCGCCACGAAGAGACGGAAGTGCGGTGGGGGTGTAATCTGTGGTGTCAGAATCTCACGCGGGACAAAGGTTCTGTCGACACGAAGAGCAGGAGCTCTGGCAACACAGTGTCTGAGGGCGGACGTGACCTGGCCTCTTTCCTTCCGCCTCACCGCTCTCCGCTCCTCTCCCCGCTCGCTCTCTGCTCCGTCGCTTCACCTGTGCCTCGCATGTGTTCCGACTTGCTCTTGCAGCGCGCGTGGCTGCATGCGCGTGCATGTTCTGCGCGAGCGACCGTCGCACGAGTCTCGGAGGTGATCTCCCCGCCTGGCTCTCCTCTGTGTCGGTGGCTTCACGTGCTCTGTGCTGCATGTCTGCCCGATCCTGGCGCCCGCTGGGCAGTCAGAGGATCTGCGCTTCTGCGTTCTATCCCTCTCCCCTCCTCTCCTTCCCCTGCGTCCCTCCTGCCTTTTCCGCCTCTGACGTCAGTGTCTGTCTCCTGGTGACCCTTTCCGTTGCACTGTGTCGCCAGTCAGGGCGACCTTCTGGGAGCGCACCTACGGTCGGGAGGGCTCCCGGACTCGCTGGCGTCGCCTGGCGATGGTCCTGATTCTGTCTCAATTCTCCTTGTCCTCTCCTTCTCCCCCTTCCCTCCCGCCTCCTCTCGTCGGGCTGTGTGCATATAGTGTCAATGGCCGTATGGGCCTCGGGGGATGTTTACATACTGCACGCCCGATTCTTTTGTCAGGCCACGTTTCACCGCTTAAGGTTGCCTATCGCAGGTCGGCTTGTGCGGAGTTCCCGGATGGGCACCGATGTGCTGGCTTAAAAGGTATCGTTATTAGAACTATTGCTGGTTTTCGGAGCTACGATGTTGATCCCCGTTCTCTGTGCCTCATTGTACATTTGCCCCCCAGGGCTGTTCACTGAATGTTTTGCTCTCACGTGTGTAACATACACCTGTTCCTGTCGTGCGGAAGGCTGAGATTCCAGGTGTATACAAGAAGGGAGCGCATGGCAAAACACGGAGAGCACGGTCGTGTGCATGCCTGCTGGTAATGTCCTCAAAGGGACCGTGCCCGTCCAGACCACATAGGCAGCCGGCACTCGGGCGAGAGCACGGATCTGTTCAAACAGTTTGCGAGGAGATCTCCGGCGAAGCCGCCGCCGGACCGTTGCCTGGCCGGGTGGTCTCGGGTTCCCCGCGGTTCCCCTGTGGGACGACGACGAGGACGACGACGACGACCAGGACGACGATGACGATGACGACGACGACGACGACGACGACGGGAGTGTTGTTTCTACCCTTCTCAAAACCCTTTTGAGCGAACCGCTGTCAGGGACATGGAGAGCTCTGGCAGCACGGCGAGCAGGAAGAGAACGGAGAGAGCGCGGCCCTGTGCATTCTTTGCTCAGTGCAGTGGTGTGAGGGGCCGTGGCCGCCCAGACAACCGCAATCTGTAGCTGGCATGGGGGGAGAGCACGGATCTTGGTCAAGCTGCGAGGTGTGCTCAGGCGAAGCCGCCGCTGGACCGCTGCCGGACCGGGCGGTCTCGGGCTCTCCCCGCTCCCCCCCCCCCCCGTGTGGGACTCTTGCGTGCTCTGCAGGGCCGTCCATCAACGATGCAGGGTGGACTTGGCGCTCGGACGTGTGCATTTTTCCCTTCGGCGAGGACCATCGAGGAGCATCCTCGATCATTCGGCGAAAAATCCTCGCACGAAACCAAAAAAACACAGGGAATGGACGTCCGAGCGATGGCGAGTGGACGAAAACCAGGGAGGGAGAGCAGCTCCATCACACGCCACCGTTGAGCGCCCACCCCGGAGCCATGGTGCTCCGTCGGCACTAACACGTTGATGGGTTCCCAGCCGGTGCGTGTCATTGATGCTGTTCTTGCTCCCCCAAAGGCTGGTCCCACGGAAGGGTGCAGACTTCTAGGGGTTAGCACTGTGACACAAAGAACGGCGGCGGGGGGTCCGGGGAGTGCGAGGGCCAGCCGCGGCCTTCTTTGGGGGCAGGGGGTCCTGTAGAGTTGTGGGACCTGCCCCCTGTCCGCGGCCGCCTGAGATTGCTTCTCGGCGTGCATGGCTTCTGAGTTCCGGCACCGCCTGATTCTGGGGCTTTGCCCTCTCTTGGCCTTGACGTGAGGCCCCTCCTGCTGCCTTCCTCCCTCTGTCAGTTAAAGCTGTGCGCGGCCCGCTTAGCTTCGACCGGAAGAGGCTCGTTCTCGACCCGTGGATCAAAAATATGGTTTCTGAGGCATGGGATGCGTCATTATAGATTGCACGTAATACGATGTAAAGGGGCGCGGAGGAGGAAGGAGGAGGAGGAGGAGGAGGAGGAGGAGGAGGAGGAGGAGGAGGAGGAGGAGGAGGAGTTGAAGGAGGACGAGGCGGAGCAGGAGGAGGAGGAGGAGGAGGAGGAGGAGGAGGAGGAGGAGGAGGAGGAGGAGGAGTAGGAGGGAGGCTGCGTTCGACGAACTCTGTAGCCACCAGGAACCGGGAGCAGGGAGAGGGAGGGAGAAAGGGCGGGGAAAAAAGGAGCCGAGGAAGAGGAGGGAGAGGGAGGGCACCCTCCTCCTCCTCCTCCTCCTCCTCCTGCTCCTCCACTCGCCCTGCCCCAGAGCGCGCGCTGCTGACAGGAGCTTATGCCCAAGATGCAGGCCTTGCTCGGGCCTGGCCCCGCTGGCTACCGCGTCTGGGAGCAGCGGCCTGACGGCGCGGCGCCAGAGGCGGGGGTGGGGGGCGTCGGCCAAGTGCACCGCCGCCGAGCCTGGCCAGGACAGTCCCCGGGCCCAGATCGCTGCATGCGCCGAAATGGGGGGTGGCCTAAAGGGGGGGTGGAGAAACGGGCCCTGTTAAAGAGGCTTTTTAGGGCCCCTTTTGAAGCCAGTGGGTGCCCAGAAGGGGCCCTAAGGGCCCCTTTTGGATCCCTTTTGGGCCCCCTCCTCCTCCTCCTCCTTCTCCTCCTCCTCCTTCTCCTCCTCCTCCTCCTCTTCCTCCTCCTCCTCATCATCAGCATCAGCATCAGCATCAGCATCAGCATCAGCATCAGCATCAGCATCAGCATCATCATCATCATCATCATCATCATCATCATCATCATCATCATCATCATCATCATCATCATCATCATATTATTATCATCATCATCATCAGCAGCAGCAGCAGCAGCATCAGCATTTGCATCAGCATCATCAGCATCAGCATCAGCATCATCATCATCATCATCCTCATCCTCATTATCATCATCATCATCATCATCATCATCATCATCATCATCATCATCATCATCATCATCATCATCATCATCATCATCATCATCATCATCATCATCAGCATCATCATCATCATCATCGGGTCGCCTACGGCCCCGGGGGAAACCGTGCAGGGTCACCCACCATTGGCACCCGCCCGAGCCTCCCTGGCCAGGGGGGGCGCCTGCGCTGGCCCCCGGGCCGATCCTCGACATATCTCTCTCGGGCGTGCTTAGTTTTCTTCGGCGAGGACCATCACAGAGCATCAGGAGGAGGAGGAGGAGGAGGAGGAGGAGGAGATCCTCGAGCAAGAAGTGGCACGCTCGAAAGCGAGAAGTGCCACGGGGGATGGACGTCCGAGCGATGGCAGGATGTGGGCGAGGATGGCTCCATCGCCAGCCATGTCTGCGCGTCGCGGCTGGGAATCCAGCCAGGTTGCATGCTGCCTGCGGCAGGCACGTGCGAACAGAGACCTCGAGGTATATGAAACATGGGGGGTGCATCTTCGTCGACCCTGAGCTTTGCAAGGGGCCTGAGGGCCCTGCGGCTCCATCTGGATACAAGGAGTTCTAGGGGGGGGGCACCCGTCGGCATGCCAGTTTTATGTTTGGTGTGCCGACTTGTACATGGCACCCGACCCGATCCGCAGGCCTCGACTCCGGCCTGAGCTCTGCCCTCCCGGGACTGCCGGGGATCGGCGCCGGCGCACCAGCGATAGCCAGCGTCCTCCCGCGACGCTGGGTGTTGCTAGAGGTGGTCCTGGTCCAGCGTTTCCCACGATCTTGGAGCCCCTGGGCCAGGCCCTCCAGATATTAGGCCAGGGGCACCTCTGGCAGCACTCGGACGGGGCTATAAGTTAAGACGAGGATCAATCCGTTCCGGAGCGTTCTGGAACACTCAGAGCGTCCCGGAACGCTCTGGGGAAGCCGGGGCGCCCGAGACATCTTCTGGAGCCGCCAGATCTTAGAGGTTCTCGATTTATCCTCACGCCGCGGCTGGCAAGCCAGGCGCATGCAGTTCCTCAGGCTTCGGAGCCAGCGGCGCTGGGTGTCGGTTTGAGAACGTGTGCGCGGCCAGGGCCCACAGGGACCAGTGGAGCCACCTGGGCGACGAACAAAAAGTGGGTCCACAATTGCGCCGACATTTGAACGTGAGCTGCCCGCCGAAGCTCGCACCTATAGGCCCCCCTCGTCTCTATAGTGTGGCGTGCCGCGCCGGCGGCCTGGACCTAACAATTGACGTTTACTAAACGGCCCTGGGCGTTTACTAAACAACCCTGCCATGTTCGATTCCTTCCTTGGGTGCGTTTACTAGACGGCTTCGCTTATCGGGGTGACTAGTCTGGGGGTGGATTTCCTACCCTCTCCTTGCGTCCTTCTCGCACATCCTTATGATACGGGCCGGCTGTGTGCGTGCAACGCGCCTCACCCGATTTGATCCCCGTCCTGCGCTGCGTCCTCCGGCGAAGCGCAGGCGCCCGCTGCGGCTGCGGCCCGGGCACCGCCCGCCGCGGCGACCGCCACGACGGCCAGGGCGCACCAGCAGGCCCCCGCGGCGAGCGGCCGCGGCCGCGGCCGCGGCCGCGGCGGGCGCCCTGCCCGTGGGGTGGCGGCCTCGGAGGGCGGCCTGGACGAGGATTCAATTCCGAGGAGGACGAGGTAGCCTTGTGCCCTTAGTTGCCTCGGCACGCCCGTTTTGATACGCAGCACGTGCCGCGCTCAAAACGTCCGTGTCAATGCGTCGCGTGTTGGCTCGGCGTGTTGGTCCACGTTTTGGCGAACGTATCGCGTCATACAAACGCTTTCAGCCTACGTGTTGAGTTCCGTATCAATACGCTGCGTGTTGCGTGTTGCGTATCGAGGCAGTTAACCTCGTGCCCCCGATATCAATCCCCATGGGATACGGTGGGGGCGTTCCTTAAGGAATGTGCCCGGGAGGCTTCACACCCTGGAGGGTTCCTTGATCCGATGAGGGCGGTGGTGATATCCATAGCCCCTCCACGATTGGAGCTCCATCGGCTTCCAGACCCTGGAATCCTTATCCAAGGGTTCCTTATCCAACGCCCTCGCCGTAGTACAGTTCGGGGGTCCGCGTGGATGATAAACGTTTCCCCCCGGAGATCGCAGCATAATGATGAAGTGGATGACAATGATGATGAGAAAGATGATTAAGCTCTCAGGGGGGAAGGGGTGGATGATGGGATGATTTAATATCCGGGGCACGGGGTTACCGACGCCGCTGTACCCTTGGGGTTACCGACGCCGCTGTACCCTTCGCCCGCGGTCCCCTTTTGCAGCCTCCCGCGGGGGCCTCGTCGCCACCGCCGGATTCGCCTCGACAGGCGGATCAGAACGCACCCCGGGAGAGGTCCGGGGAGCAGCGGCATCGGTACGTTCTGGTTTCCCCCTAAGGAGGCGGCGGCGGACGCGGGCGTAGCGGGCGCCCCGGGCGAGCAGGAGGGCCGGGCGGGGAGGGAGGGCACAGCTCAGCGCTGGCGGGCGGGAAGAGTTTGCAGCAGCGCTTCCCTGCCTCCGCAGCCGGGTGCTCTCGGCCTCCGAGATGGGGTCGGAGTAGACGGGGTCGGAGGATCGCACCGCATCGCCGATGCATTTCGGTTGCGGCTCGATGTGGAGCCCGCTGTGCTTCACGTCGACGTCGCCGATGCATCGCCGACGTCGACGGTGCATTGCAGGTGCATCCCCGATGCATCGCCGATGCATCCCCGACGCATCGGCGATGCGGCGCGATCCTCCGACCCCGTCGACTCCGACCCCATCTCGGAGGCCTCCAGTTGGCTCAGAGGCCCCACGGAGGGCCGCGCCAGCAGCACGCACTCTGCGCCGTGCGCACGTCGAGTCCGGGGGCAGAGGTGAGCGGGGGCCCCCGGGCTGGCCTGGTCGGGGACGGCGCCCGTCCCAGCGAGCGCCCCCGTGCGGGGCGCTCGCGGGGCGGCGATCCTGGCCGGGTCGCCGCACCCGCGGCTGGGGCGTGGCGCCCCGAGAACACGCCATCGCGATGATCGAGCGCCTATATTTGTAGTGACCCAGACCCCGTCGCGCTGTGCAAAAAAACACGACCAGGGGTTTTTCGCTATTTTCGGTTTCCGGGGGGGGGGCCCTCACCAGGCCTCGGGACCGACTCAGGATGAATAACTGGCCCTGGGGAAGGGGTCCAGACCTCTCGGGGTCGACGATGCGAACAAATCACGGCGTCGGGGGTCTGGGGAGTCAGCTGGGGTTCGGGATGGCCGCACGGTTTTTGGACTTGGGTCGTTCTCCGAAGATGTCTCGGGCGACGGGAGCCTCAAGGGCCCCCGAAGCCAGCGGACCGTGCGGTGAGGCCGCTAGGGATTCTGAAGTAACCGCACGGTCTGTCACCGCACCATGTTGGGACACCCAAGAGGGGGGAGGGTCGCGGGACATCAAAGCTTGCGCAAACATAAGTTTTCAGAGGTCCGCGCGAAGTGGTTGGGTCGACGCCAGCGCGCCTCGCGCGCTACGCGATGGGGGCGTGCAGCGCCGACCCGAGAATTCTGCGCGGAACAGAGGTACACCAGGATGATGGAGGTGTCGAGAGTTTCGGGGCCCACGCCGTGCGAAGGCTGCCACACCAGAGATCTTCGTCGCCACCTCTGCTCCTCCCCTGCCCTCATACCCCTCACCCCTCATCTTCCCACTGCTCGTCCGCTCGTCCCCGTCGGTCGCCCTCTTTAGCATCACCCCGCCTAGCCCAAGAGGAATGGCGGTGAGGTGGCGGGCCCTCGATCAGCCGCTGCTGCTGCTCCTCCTCCGACAGCATGTAGGCTCAAGGGGCCTTCAGGGCAGAGATGGTAGTTTGCGATCCCTGCCCGCGCACGGTCCGTCTCGCAGCCCATGGCCCTCAGTGGTCCCCGGCCACGGCCAGCGTGTCGGCTGCCAGGGCGCACCCGCTCTGCGGCACGGCGGCCGCGCTCGCGGCCGACGTAGTCCCCCAGTGCCGCCCAGCTCTGCGCTGGGGCTCTCTGGCGCCGCCGCGGCCGTCGGCGCTGGGCGCCGGGCCAGGCGAGGGCCGACGGCGCTGGCCGCGGCCGAGCCGCTTCCGGCTCCCCGAGCTCGGGCCAGAGAGGAGGGCGAGGCTGTTGGCAGCCCTGAAGGTGGCGTCCCCGTTCCTGACGGTCGGTGCGCTCTGCCTGTCCTCTTGGGTGCGGGGGCGCCAGCAGAGGACGATCAAGGAGGTCTCCGGGGCAAGGATAGGGAGGGACAGGTATAGGGGAGGATACATCGACCCCCCATCGCCCATTGATCGCGGCCAGGGGCCTGATAGCCCCAACCTGCCCAGGAACGTGCGGTGGCACTATCGGAGGCCTATCGCCGATCGATCGGCGATGTATCGCCGATTCCATGTCGATGTTCCCCCCCCCTATCCCTACTCCCCCCGATCGTTTCCCCTCGAGGTCGCGCTGTCGGCCTTCTTCGACTTCCTACAGAACCCGACGCAGCCCGTGAGGCACGCCATCCTCGGCAGCTCGAGCTGCACGGTCCTGCTGGAGGACGGCACTCGCCTGTTCGCGCGCTGGCCAGCCATGGCTGGGCCCGTGGTTGAGGAGCTGTGGTCCATCCTCAGGGGGTCCAAGATCGTTGTCCTGGCCGAGCGAACCAGCGGCTCGCCCAAGCTCCTGATGTCCTTTCTCTTGATGGGGGCTTATGCTAATCGCTTCGCGATTCACCGTCCGCCCACGGCGTTCTAGTAGCCAGTAGCCGCGGGCGGAATGTCCAAGATGGCCCCACGACGATCCCGGGGCATGTCCACTTAAGACTCAAGACCGTCCCGCGGGAGGCAGCAGATTGCTCCGAGCTGGCCCGTAATGGATTCGTGAGGGCCCAGAAGCATCGCAAGAGAGCCCCCGAAGAGGGCCAGGACGACCGCGCGTTTCTTCGCTGTCTTCTTGCCAAGTCCTCTCGAGACTTCGTCGGGGCCTCCACCCATTGCGCAATGCTGCGGTCTCCTGTGCCGAACCTGAAGAGCAGGCTCAGAGGCAGGAGGCCGACGTGGTCTTGCAGGTGGCGCGGAAGGGTGCCGCTTCGGCCTCTACCGCTCCGCTACCACGCTTGGAAGCTATCCGTGCCCGCATAGCGGCGCGGGAAGCTGCGAGGATGGTGCGACGAACTGGTAACTGTCAAACTGGTCGGGCAACGGTGCCCCCCCCCCAAAAAAAAACACTGCACGCGTCGAGTGGTCTTCTTGGACCCCACTGTGGAGGCCTCACGGGCGGTGCCGCCGACCCCCGGCGGAGGACGACGACGACGGCGGACGACGGCGGCGAAGAGAAGCATTCAAAACGCAGTGGCAAGCATTGATCTTTTCCCCTTGGGGCTGTCTTCTTGGGATCCTTGGACGCGTCACGTGGCCTTAATGGAGGATGACGATTAATAGATGACAGGGGGTCGTGTTCACGCGGCGGCGCCCGGGATGACGATTAGAAAAAGCCGGCCGCGGGCAGGAAAACCATTCTTTTAATTCCAGTCAGAAAATTGTGCAGAAATGGCGGACAACTATTTTTCAATCGTTCTCTCCAATTTTTTGTATTAATCGTCATCCCGCACTATTGCACCATATCGCCAAGGCCATACGGCGCCAGTGCCGCCGACCCTGAAGGAGCAGAGCAACGACGACAACGGATGCACGACGAAAAGCATTCAGAACTTCATGACAATCTTTGTTTCTATCCTCTTGGGGTTGTCTTCTTGGGACCGTTGGGCGCGTCACCAGGCTTTCTTGGACCATGTTTGGCGGCCGAGGACGCCAGAGGGCCAGCACCACTGACAAAGCCATGGGTCTTTCAACGATCGTAACAAGTTTTGTGTACCCCTCGGGAGTTGGAGCCATCGAGGGGCCTGAGGTGGCCCAGCACTGGTTCCAGCCAGCAGGAATGGCGGGCATGTCCGAGGTTCTGGGCGCGAGCAAGTTTTTTGCTTTTGGGCGTCTGGGTGCCGGTTTCGAGGCCCGGCCCGGCACCGTGAAAAACGGATCCAGTGTGAAACATTACGTTGGATGGACCCCGGGAGGGGTCTGGGGACCGATTTTGAACGGATTTGGATTCATCTCCCCCTCCTGACCGATTTCTGGGGTCCAGACCCCCCGGCCGCCTCCAACTTGCGAGGCTTCAAAACCTTGGAGCATGATTGTGGCAACGCAGGGGCCTCGTGGACCAAACTGAGGGCAGCCTCTGGGCCAACGTGTGTCATCCTAGTTCATGTCGGGCCACCTTGTCACCATCTTGAGGCTGCCAAATATCCATCTTGGAGACTCAGTAGGCACGAGTCTGGGTGCTTGTGGCTATCTCGGGCTCGAGTCTTGAGGTTGTTCTGTAGGACTTAGCGTGTGGATTCTTGGAGCACTCGGGGGGGGCATAAGAGAGCCACCTGGCGCAACCTAGGGGCTACATGCTACCTTTAGGTGTGAAAGGCCCATCGGAGCCAAATCACGTGAGAAGACAACATAAGATAAACACAGTGCTTTGATCAAATGGGCCCTCGAGGCCCACATCGATCTGGTCGCCTATTGGGGGTCGTATTGGAAGAACCCCCGTGGGCCACAGTTGGGCTTGAGAGGCCCATTGAAGCCCCAAGAGGCGAGAAGGCACAACACAGCACCAAAACATATGCAATGTGTCTGGATCCCCGGAAGCCTCCGAGTAAGGCCTCTTCGACCGTCTGGGGCCGTCTCAGAAGTCCATACGGGTTTTGTTGGAGGCGTCTTGGCCCATCTTTGGACAATATATTGGAGGCCTGGAACTGGGCTCAAGCACCAACACAGGGGGTTGCCTCCACAATGGGAAGATGGTCCTAGATTTCGGTGTTGGTGGTAATTTTTGAAAGCGCGCCACTGGATTACCCTGTAGTTGAAAAGGGGGGGGGGGCTCCCCACCTCCCCCCCTTCAAAGGAGGGGTGAGATTTTCGACCCCCCCCCTCCGCCCCTTAGGGGTGCGGGGGTCCGACCCCTCCCCTCCCCCCCCCCCCTTGAGGGGGGGGGTCCGGACAACCCCCCCCCCCCTCCCCCCCTTGGCGCTGGAAGGGGGGAGGGGGTTCGACCCCCCCCCTTCCCCCCTTTGCGCCGAACAGGGGGCCGGGGAGAGGGCCTCTCCCGCAAGGGTGTGGGGGGGGGGCCTGGCCCCGGGGTAGTGAATAGTGAGTAGAGAGTAGTGCGTAGTGAGTAGTGAGTAGTGAGTAGATAGCGAGTAGTGAGGAGTGAGTAGTGAGTAGTGCGCAGTGAGTAGTGCTCAGTGAATAGTGAGTAGTGAGTAGTGGGTAGTGGGGAGTGGGTAGTGAGTAGGGAGTAGCGAGTAGGGAATTGCGAGTGGTGATTCGTGAGTCGCGAGTAGGGCATTGTGAGTAGTGAGTGGTGAGGAGGGAGTAGTCAATAGTGAGTAGCGAGTAGGGAGTAGCGAGTAGTGAATAGTGAGTAGTGAGTATTGAGTGAGGAGTAGTGAGTAGTGAATAGTGAGTAATGAGAAGCGAGAAGTGGGTGTTGAGTAGTGTGTAGTGAGTAGTGCGTAGGGAATAACGAGTAGTGAGTAGTGAGTAGTGAGTCGTGAGTAGTGAGTAGTGAGTAATGAGTAGTGAGTAGTGAGTAGCGGCTTGTGACTAGTGACCAACGAGTAGGGAGTAGTGAGTAATGAGTAGTGCGCAGTGGGTGGTGACAATGGCGTATTGGGTAGCGAGTAGGGAGTAGGGGGTAGCGAGTAGTGTGTAGTGAGTAGTGAGAAATGAGTACTTTGTAGGGAGCTGGGAGTAGCGAGCAACGGATAGTGAGCAGTGACTTGTGGGCAGTGAGTAGTGAGTAGTGAACCGTGAGTACTCAGTAGTGAGCAGTGGATAGTGGCTCGTGGCTAGTGAGTAGTGCTTAGTGAGTAATGAGTAGTGGGCAGTGGGTCGTGTTTGGTGACTAGTGAGTATCGAATACTGGGTAGTGAGTAGTGAGTAGTGAGTTGGGAGTAGTAAGTAGGGAGTAGTGAGTAGGGAGTAGTGGGAGCGTAGTGAGTTGTGAGTAGTGGGTCGTCAAGGGTGTGATTGGGTAGCGAGTAGGGTGTAAGGAGAAGCGAGTAGTGAGTAGTGAGTAGGGAGAACTGTGTAGGGAGTAGGGGGTAGCGAGTAGATGATAGTGAGTAGTGAGTTGTGGGCAGTGGGTAGTGAGTAGTGAAGTGTGAGTAGTCAGTAGTGAGTAGTGGGTAGTGGGTAGTGAGTAGTGATTTGTGATTAGTGAGTAGTGAGTCGTGAGTTCTGTTTAGGGAGTAGTGATTACTGAATAGTGGATAGTGAGTAGTGAGCAGTTAGTAGTGAGTAATGAGTAGGGAGTAGGAATTGTGAGCAGTAGGTAGTGAATAGTGAGTAGTGGGTAGTGAGTAGTGAGTCGTGCGTAGTGAGTAGTGACTAGTGAGAAGTGAGTAGTGAGTAGTGAGTTGTGAGTACTGGATAGTGAGTAGTGCGTAGTGAGTAGTGAGTACTGTTTAGGGCTAGGGTTGAGGTTTGGGGCTAGGGTTCGGGGTTAGGGTAAGGTGAGGATTAGTGTTAGGGGTGGTAGGGGTCGGGTTCCGGAGCCTGGGGGCGCCGTGGCGAAAGGGGGGGAGGGGGGGGGGGGGCTCGAGTTTGGCGGCCCAAGGGGGGTCGGGGGGGGCTCGGAACCTCCCTTCCCCTTTTTTTAACAGGAGGAGGGGGGTGGGTCCCCGACGACGGATCGGGAAAGGGGGGGCGGTTCCCCGACGACGGATCGGGAAGGGGGGAGGGGGGGTTGCCCCGACGACGGATCGGGGAAAGGGGCGGGGGGGAGGGGGGTCCCCCCCCTCTTGGGGACATCCAGCGGAGCGGCGCACACTCGTAATCTTTCCGTCGCCCAGAGAGCCCGAGTATTACCACCATCGCCGAGATCGGGATCATCTTCCCTCGGTGGAGGCACGCCGCCGATACCTGGTGTTGGTGCTAACCTCTAGGCCTGCGAAAGTGTGCGGCATCCTGGGCCACTTCGTGAACCATCTGGGGGCATATTCGGCTCAGATCTGGGCAAGCTCGGATGGCGATGGTCCCCCCCCAGTTTGGCCTCCGCTGCCAGGCCGCTCTTGGCCGATCTTACCTCGTGTTTCTCCGACGCGCCCCCCCCCCCCCCCCCCAGAACCAGCTCCGAGCGCGCGATGAAGTGAACACGCTAACAGCGGCACGATTTGACTTGCAGGCCGCTTTGTGCAATGATGTTGCTCTGCATTCTGCACCACCGTCCACTTCTAGCGCCTTCCCGCTTCAACTCTTGAGCTGGCTGTGTGCTGCCTTTCTTTTTCGGGGCGGGCCGAAGTTCACTCTTTGTTTCACTGCCTTCTATTTTCTGTCTCTACCGATTTATTCCGAGTGGGTCGTACTTGATTGAAGGATGTCAGGAAACGCGTTTTGCGCACGACCGGTGAGTTGAGAGAAGGGATTGATTACGGGGCGGCAGTGAAACACGTGTTGGTCCGCCCATGCAGTGCTGGCTGTTTGATCTCAGGGGCCCTGCAGGTTCCAGAAAAGTTTGAAATCCGTGCGACAAACAGATCCGTATCAGCATCCTCGCAGGCCTGGCCTCTGGGCAGCGACCCCGCGGATATGCAGCGTTCCTCCGCGGATGCGTCGCGCGGAGCGTATCAGAATTCAAACCGCGAGAGCGTGGCCCATCAAGTTTGGCTCAACGGGCACCAGGATCAGCCACGCGCAGAGAGGGGTAGGGGGAGGGGGGCAGGCTTCTCATAAGGAGGCTGCTTCTTAGAAGGCGCGGGCCTTGTGTGCAGATGCAGGGCCTTCGCCTTCTAAGAAGCACGGGTTCTTCTAAGAAGCCTTCCCCACTCCCCCTTCCCCCTCTTGCGCGCCGCCAACGTGAAGCCCATCAGGATTGATTCAGCGGGCGCCAGGAGGCGCCCCAAGAAGACCAGGCACCCGTACGTACAGCCCATGACGCCCCCAGGACTTCGCCACCGTGGCCCCTCAGAGGCTTCAGGGTGGCTCCGCGCAGGGCCCCCCGAGAGACGAGAATCGTCGGTTGAATACTTTCCATGCACAGCCTGTCTGAAAGGGTTATCTTCATTTACATAGATACATATGTGTATACATACACAAATGCATACATACTTTCTAAATGTCGCCGCGCCGTTTGTTCCGACGCGCGGCCGTCTGTCTCGGGGAGGGCGCCTCGGCCACCAGGGCGAACTCCGCCTCGGGCGCAGCGGGCTCGCCGTGGGGTTTGCCTCGGTGCTGGCTTCGTCTGCCTGGGGCGCAGGATGGCGCGGGGCTTGCCGTGGGCTTGCCGTGGAGTCGGCATCGTGCACCTGGGCGCGTCGAGGACAAACTGCGCGGTGATATATCTATATATATATATATAAATATGTATATATACACACACTTATGTATATATGTGTATATATATGTATATATGTGTATATATATACATGTATGTATATAGCGGACACCCGGACATGATCGCGATGTTGGACAAACCAGACGGTTGCTTTTGCTGCTGCTTCCAGCCTCGAGAGCATTCTCCGGGCCCTGGGACTGTCACACAAAAACGACTCGCGATGAACATTCGAGGGCCAGCACTTCTGGTGAGTCCGTATCGAACACATCGGAACATCTCATGGCTGGATATGTTTTATGTGTGTATCTATGTATATATGTATATATATATATATATATATATATATATATATATATATATATATATATATATATCGGAGGTTCGGGGGGGAGATCGCAGTGGAAGGGAGACCCCCAACCGGGAAATCGTTTCGTTTCGTTCGTGTCGTGCGTGTGGCGTGCGGGCGAGGCGAAGTTGCGTGGGCGCGCGAGAGGAATGAACCCGCCGTTGCTAGGGCGAAGTCAAGACAAATGTTGATCCTCCGTCCGTCCGTCCGTCCGGCGGTGGCCCGCGGTGTCCCGCGGTGTCCCGTGGTGTCCCGTGGTGTCCCGTGGTGTCCCGGGGTGTCCGCCGTTGCTAGGGCGAAGTCAAAACGAATGTTGCTCCTCCGTCCGTCCGTCTGGTCACCGGTGGCCCGCGATGTTTCGCGGTGTCCCGTGGTGTCCCGTGGTGTCCCGTTAAGTGAGATCGATAGTGAGATCGATAGTGAGATTGACACTGAGATCGATGTGGTGTTCCGAGGTGTCCCGTGGTGTCCCGCGGTGTCCCAAAAAGTGAGATCGATAGTGAGATCGATAGTGAGATCGACAGGTGTCCCGTGGTGTCCCGTTGAGTGAGATCGATAGTGACATCGATAGTGGGATCGATACTGAGACCGATGTGGTGCCCCGATCTGCCCCGTGGTGTCCCGTGGTGTCCTAAAAAGTGAGATCGATAGTGAGATGGATATTGAGATCGACAGGTGTCCCGTGGTGTCCCGTGGTGTCCTTTTGAGTGAGATCGATAGTGACATCGATAGTGCGATCGATACTGAGACCGATGTGGTGCCCCGATCTGCCCCGTGGTGTCCCGTGGTGTCCTAAAAAGTGAGATCGATAGTGAGATGGATATTGAGATCGACAGGTGTCCCGTGGTGTCCCGTGGTGTCCTTTTGAGTGAGATCGATAGTGAGATCGATAGTGAGATTGACACTGAGATCGATGTGGTGTTCGGAGGTGTCCCGTGGTGTCCCGCGGTGTCCCAAAAAGTGAGATCGATAGTGACATCGATAGTGAGATCGACAGGTGTCCCGTGGTGTCCCGTTGAGTGAGATCGATAGTGACATCGATAGTGGGATCGATACTGAGACCGATGTGGTGCCCCGATCTGCCCCGTGGTGTCCCGTGGTGTCCTAAAAAGTGAGATCGATAGTGAGATGGATATTGAGATCGACAGGTGTCCCGTGGTGTCCCGTGGTGTCCCTTTTGAGTGAGATCGATAGTGAGATCGATAGTGAGATTGACACTGAGATCGATGTGGTGTTCGAGGTGTCCCGTGGTGTCCCGCGGTGTCCCAAAAAGTGAGATCGATAGTGAGATCGATAGTGAGATCGACAGGTGTCCCGTGGTGTCCCGTTGAGTGAGATCGATAGTGACATCGATAGAGACCGATGTGGTGCCCCGATCTGCCCCGTGGTGTCCCGTGGTGTCCTAAAAAGTGAGATCGATAGTGAGATGGATATTGAGATCGACAGGTGTCCCGTGGTGTCCCGTGGTGTCCCTTTGGAGTGAGATCGATAGTGAGATCGATAGTGAGATCGATGTGGTGTCCCGTGGTGTCCCGTGGTGTCCCGTGGTGTCCTATGGTGTCCCGTTGAGTGAGATCGATAGTGAGATCGATAGTGAGACCGATCGTGAGATCGAGAGGTGTCCCGTGGTGGCCCGTGGTGTCCCGTGGTGTCCCGTTGAGTGAGATCGATAGTGAGATCGATAGTGAGATTGACAAGTGTCCCGTGGTGTCCCGTGGTGTCCCGTGGTGTCCCGTTGAGTGAGATCGATAGTGAGATCCGTTGAGTGAGATGTTGGTTCTCCCCCGTCTTCCCCCCCCCCCACAACCTCCTTATCACCCGGAGGGTGGTCGTATAGGCATATACATATATATATATATATATATATATACAAGGCTCCTCGGCCCTTGAACTTTGGCATCCAGGCGGAATGACAGGCAGGAAAAGCAGACAATTTGGCGATGATTCCTTTTGCCTTTTCCAGCATCGCCGTTATCATCATGCTATTCATTATCCTCTCCTCGTATTTCCCTTTCTCTTCCTCATTTTCGCTCCGCCCTACCTTGCGAATGCTTCCCCGCCCTCAGCTCTTTTTGCGGATGCTCCTTGGAGAGTCTCGTGGGGCCTGAGGAAAGTTTTAGAGTGTTTTTGATGCCATCTGGAGGCCTCCTGGGCGCCTTCTGGGGGTGTCTGGAGGCTTCCTCGGGCCCTGCTTCTATACGCGGTCTCCCAGAACGACGGGGTCATGATTCGGAATGCTTCGTGGGGCGTTTTGGGGCCATCTTGGGCCGTCATGGGGCTTCCTTCGGGCCACTGGGAATCCTGCTGTGCCGTCTTGGGGCTCTCTTGGACTGCCTGGAATCTTTTTCCGATAGTTTTTTGGCAGTGTTCGGGCCTCCTGGGCGGTCTCGGACGCCCAGAAGACACGATAGCATAGCATTCCCAAGATCATACAACAATTGACAACAAATTGTTTGCCTGTGTTTCGAAAGCATCTTAAGGGGGTCTTCCTTGGGTCGTCTTCGGGCGTCTGGTGGGTGTCTGTGGCCTCTTGGGGCCCTCGGAGGGCTGTTCTGCCGCCCACCTGACCGATTTGAACCCATTGCCGAGGCCCAGCAGAGGCTCCCAGGAGCTCCGGAAAGCTTGGGGGGCCTTCTGCAGGGGCGTCCGGGGGGCCCCCGGGGCCACGGAACCAGAGGGTCCCGTGTACGGGGGGTGTCCCACCACCCTCTGCTTGTAGAGATATAGAAAACTTGGCATCGCTCGGACGTGTGCATTTGTCATCATCGGCGAGGATCAACAAGGAGCATCTTGGACCATGTTGCGAAGAAATACGGGCACGATATCAAACATACACGTGAAATGGACGTCAAAGCGATGGCGAGAAGAGGGAATCGATCTATGTATATATATACATATTAATATATATGTATATATTAATTTACGCACATGCATCCATCCATACATACATACATACATACATACAGACAGACAGACAGACAGACAGACATACACACATGTCGGCATGCATGCATTCAAACATAACTCAATAGACACATACAGACAGACAGGCAGGCATACAAACATATATGTGGGCATACATATATATATATGCATGCATACATACATACACACATGCATGCACACATATGTATATATGCATACATGTCTACAGCGAGTATGTATGTATGAATGCATGTATGTACGTATGTAGGTATTTATGTATGTATGTGTTTATGTATGTATGTGTGCATGTATGCATGTATGCATGTATGCATGTATGCATGTATACATGCATGCATGTATGTATGTATGCATGTATGCATGTATGTGTGTATGTGTGTATGTGTGTATGTATGCATGCATGCATGTGTGCATGTATGCATGCATGTATGTTTGTGTAGGTGTGTATACATATATCCACATGTCTACACATACAGCCATATCTATATATATATATATATGTTTAGGTTGCTTCTGATGCCCGGTGAGGGATGCGGGGCCTCCGAGAGTTGCCCCCATCGTGACCCCCCTCGTTGCGTGTGCATGGCCTCGGTTAGGGTCGTCTTCTGCCCCAAGGGCGTCGCAGGTTGCGGCGCCCTTTTCAGCATGGCCCACGCTCCAGCGGAAGATGGTTCCACGAAGGGCCCAGCTCCCAACAGAGCCCCAGATTCCTAGAGGCCCATAAAGGGGCCCGCAAGTGTGCCCACGGTGCTCCCCAGGGTGCCCCCCAGGTAGTCTCCAGGACGGCACCAGGACTGCTTCAAGATGGTCCAAGGCCGCCGCAGGGCCAAGACAGCCCTGACCCCCAGGCGTTTCCAGGAAGCGCCAGGAGGGTTTACAATGAGAGCCCAGCAGTGTCCCCAGAAGGCCCCAGACCAGCCTCCAAACAAGACGAGGCAAAAGCCAGCCAGCCCGTGTCCTTTCCAGGAGAAGCCGAGTTCCGTTCCGTGCTGGTCTTGTGTAAGACGCTCCTGGCCTGTTGTGCAAGCGGATTTGTTCATGATCTACACGATGATGAAGCGCATGACCGGTGGGGCTAGCGACGGAAAAAATTGGGGCAACGCGCGCAAAGAGGTGCTCCAGTCCCAGCAAGCGGGGACGGGTCAAGGCACCGCTTCCCGATTTGCGGACATCCAGGGCATCGACAGGGCGAAACTGGAGGTCAAGGAGGTAGTCGACATGATGAAGGAACCGGGGACGTATGCGAAGCTCGGTGCCCGCGTACCACGCGGTGTTCTCTTGGTCGGACCACCAGGCTCGGGCAAGACGCTTCTGGCCCGCGCGTGCGCAATGGAGGCGGGAGTGCCCTTTCTCAACGTGGCGGCGACCGAGTTCGTCGAGCTCTTCGTCGGGCGCGGTGCCGCCAGGGTCCGCAAGTTGTTCGAACGTGCCAAGAAGATGGCCCCCTGCATCGTGTTCATCGACGAGGTGGACGCGCTGCGCGCGAGGGGCGCCGACATGTTCTCGAGGGCTGGTGGCAATCAGGAGGCAGAACAGACGCTGAACCAACTCCTCACATGCATGGATGGGCTCACTGCTCGCGGTGCCGGCGGACGGCCCGTGGTCGTTGTCGGCGCCACCAATCGCCCGGAGGTGCTGGACGAGGCGCTGCTGAGGCCCGGGCGCTTCGACCGCCTCGTAAAGGTGGACCTCCCAGACGCGAGCGGGCGCCTGGAGATCCTGAAGGTCCACCTGCGGCTGAAGCAGGTGCCGCTGGCCCCCGACGCGAACCAGGCGGCCTTCCTGCTGGGCCTGGCCGAGCGGTGCGAGGGCTTCGCCGGGGCCGCGCTGGAGGCGGTGGTGAACGAGGCCGCCATCCGTGCGGCGAGGCGGGGCTCGGAGACGGTCGCCGCCCGCGACCTCGAGGAGGCCCTGACGGACTTCGGCCGCTCCAGGGAGGCTGGGGGGTAACGATAGGGGGGTCATGAGCAAACAGCACGCCCATGCCCATCGGAGGGGCGGAGGGGGCCGTGGGTGCGTGTTGTCGGATGGGCGGTCCCCGTTCGAACGGGAGCCTCCCCCAGGGTTCGACAACCCTAGCCAGTTCTCCTCCCTCCGACCTTCGTATGGTGACGCGTGCGTGTGTGTGTGTGTGTGTGTGTGTGTGTGTGTGTGTGTGTGTGTGTGTGTGTGTGTGTGTGCGTGTGTTGCTCTTCCGTCAGGGGGCATACAGTTGAAGGAGAAACAACTACATGGACAGAAGCTATCGGAGCTCCGTGAGGATTCTTGGATCTGCGGTGGAACCCTCTGGCGGCGCCTCCAGCGCTGCCCCTGGCGCGCTCCAGGGCGGGGGGGGCCAGCGCAGATCCAAGAAATTCGCGCGGACCTCCGACAGTTTACGTTTATGCCGCTTTGTGCTTTTCTAGATAGGCATAGGGTGGGATGCATCGGCCTCGAATGGTTGATACATCGACGAGGCATCGTCTATATCAGGGCTCGCTGCCCAACAGCATACATGGGTTGATGTATCGACGATGCATAGACGATGTATGGGGCGGTCTGCATCGACGATGTATCGACGAGACATGAGCGATGTACAGTCGGGGCGCTGAAGAAGGAACCCTTATCGTTGGGGAGGGACTCGGTGTTCCTTGATTGTTTTGCAGTTCGCCTCAGGTTTTCTTTCGGACTTCGCTTGGGGATCGAAGTTCAACTCAAGGAAAACATGGGGCCTCGTTCCTTATTTATCGTTCCTTAGGTCAACGCCCCAACTGTATTTGCCATTCGAGCCAGAAGCCAGGCGGAGGCTGGCAAACCCGTGGCTGCTAGAACGGTGCTCCTGGGAGTTGTTTTTTCTTCTGGGACGCAGCCCATTTACTATCTATGGCGTAAAGTTTTATTCCGGGAGTTTGTTTCCTTCTTCCGGGAAGACCGTTTCAGCAGCCACGGATTTGCCAGCCTTCGCCCAGCTTCCGTTCGAGGTCAATGCATCTGCCCCCATGCCTATGCCCATCCCCACCCCGCCGTTGCCCATCCAGAGGCCGCGAGGCCCGGCGGCTTCCCCTTCGGCCTGTGAGGGCGGCGGGGCGGCTAGCGCGGGGCACGCGGAGACGACGGCAGCTGGCCCTTCGGGGGGGCCCCTCGCCGCCACGGCCGGACGCAGCTCGGCAAATCGGTGCTCTTCGCAGGCGGAAAAACAGCATAGACATAGTTAAACCTTTGGCTCTCCGCGCGGATTCCCTTGGATCCGCGCTGGGCCCCCCCCCGGCGACGCCTCTGGCGCCGCCCCTGGCGCGCTGCGCGCGCCAGGGAGGGTGGTCCGGCGCAGATCCTCGAAATCCACGCGGAGCGCCAAAAGTTTACGTATGTTTATGCTGTTTTTTCTTTTTCTAGCGTTGAGACCGTGGGGGGGGGGGTCCGGGGACCGCTTCTGAGCTGCCGCTGTCTCAGCTCGCCTCTCCTCCGAGAGAGGGCGGCTCGGCGAGCCCCGGGGGGGGGCATGGGCGCGTGCCCCCGCCCGGCGCCGGCAGGGGGTGGAGCTCCTGGCAGCTGCGCGGATGGTACGGGGTCCTCATCCTCGCGGGGTGGCGAGCCCAGGTGGGAGGCGAGAGGGGGCAATTTTCTTTAAATCGAAGAAGGAGCACGCCATAAACAAAAGCTTTTGGCGCTCCGCGCGGATTTCTTGGATCTGCGCTGGGCCCCCCCGGCGGCGCCTCCGGCGCCGCCCCTGGCGCGCTCAGGGGGTCCAGCGCAGATCCAGGAAATCCGCGCGGAGCGCCAGCAGGTTATGTTTGTGGCGTTCTTTCTCGTCCTAGAGGCGAGAGGGGACAGGCCTTCTCACAAGGCGGCAGGTCTTTTCAGACGCCCTCGCGCCTTCTGAGGCGCGCGCTCCTCAGTAGAAGCCGCGCATGGCTTCTCGGAAAACGCGAGGGCTTGCGAGAAGCCCCGCCGCCCTCTGAGAAGGCTTGCCCCCTCGCGCTTCCCGGCTGGGCCCCCCCGCCCGTCCTCGGCCTCGTCGGTCTCTTCGCCGGCACGTCGGCCCAGGGCGAAGCAGCCCGCCCGCATCCAGCCAGGGCACAGGATGGGCCTTCCGCAGCCGAGCTCTGCCCACCATCGACCCCAGCCCTGCACAGGGAATTACCAGCCGCAGTGTGATCGGGTTGGGGGCGGGCCTAAAGCCAAGTGGATGTGCTCACGCGAACTCCGAGGCCTCTGAGTCCGACCCCTGTCCAGGGGGGGATATTGCTCGCGTCGAAGACTCATCCCGACCACGAACCCAGTCAAGGTCATCCCGCGATAGCCCGAAGTGGTCAAACTCTGCTCTCGTAAGGCAAAGCCAGGCGGCACAACGACGTGCTCGGCGGACCCGCACTCTTGGGCCCCAGGGTTTTACAGGGTCTCCAGTCTCGAGCGCCTCGGCCAAGTCCCTGCGCTTCGGCGAGGTCCAGGCCCCATCGGCTCCCCGAGGGTCAGGTCTGTCCGATCCCTGGTCGTCCAAGTTGGCTGTTTCACCTTCCAGCCCATGGCAGGCAAGCTTGAGGGCTTTAATCTTCCCTGGTGGCAGCCCCACGCCTGCAGCAGAAGCCTCGCTTCCCTATGGCGCCACCCTTGGGCTGCAGACAGCCGAGGACGGGAAGGCGTGGCCACGGACACGAACGTCAGCACGAGCAAATCACTCCCACCCGTCGCCCGAGTCCGCCCGCATCCCAATTCTTTGGGGCGGCCGCGAGTCCTCGCAGAGCGCCTGAGAAGCCTCGGGGTCGGCGCCGGCTCGCACCAAGTCGGCCGAGACAGCTAGTGGGGTTGCCAGGCCGCCAGGCCTACCGCGTCGAAGGCCCCTGCCTCAGCTAAGTAGGGAAATTTCGAGGTGACCTGCCCAGCGTCCCGGCTCGAGCGCCAAATTACGGAGGCATCCGAACAGGTTCGCATGGTCAGTGGTGATCCTTTCCCTGTCGGTTCCAGTCTTGGCGAATTCAGCCGCTGCGTCGTTGGCGTTCCTTTCCCAGTGTCGGCCAACGATTTTTAAAGAGTTATCCACGCTTCGCGGATCCCCAACAGCCAATTTAAAAACACTGCCCATGAGAGTTGACGGGAAAAAGGACGAAGAGACATGTTTTGAAACAAAGCGGGCAACCAGGGTGAACAGAGGGACCTCTGGGAGCAAGGGGGTGGCCTTAGAGGGCCTCTTAGGGCCGTCTCTAGGGCCCGCGTGGGGGCGAGGGAAGGAGGAGGAGGAGGAGCAGGAGGAGGAGCAGGAGGAGGAGGAGGAGGAGCAGGAGGAGGATAATGACGACGATGACGACCACGACGACGAGGAAGAGGAGGAAAAGGGGCAGAAAGACGATGAGGGCAAGGACGAAGAGGAGGATGATGATGATGAGGAGGAGGAGGAGGAGGACAACGAGGACGTGGACTGACCCCTCAAAATCGCCTCTTGGAGCCCTCTTGGGACTCTTGTGGGGCATCGCGGGGTCCTCTTCGGGCTCTTTTGAGGAGTCTTGGGTCCCTCTTGGGGCGCTCTTGTCGGAGATGGGATGCTCTTGGGCCGCTACTGGGCGATCTTGGGGCCGTCTGGAGGGGTTGGGGGGGTCCCTCTTGTGCCTCTCTTGGGCCATCTTGGGGCCATCTGGAGGCCTCAAAAGCGCATCAGAGGCGAAACGGCGAGAGAAGGCACAGACCATTGATTTTCCTTAGATGTTTTAAGCATGTTGGCTTCCTGGGGGATCCTGATAGGGCTCCGAGTGCACTTGGAACCATGTGGTGGCCCGCGTCGGGCATCTTGGAGGAATGTCCAAAGCTACTTTGAACCATCGTCTGCTATCTTGGGCCGTCTTGGAGGCCATCTTAGAGCATCGGGGGTCCTCTTGGAGCCGTCTTGGGCCATCTTGGACGCTCTAACGCGTCGCGGCCCGCCCCGAAAAGCCTCCTGGAAAGGAGGAGGTTCCCGGAATAGGAAAGACAGAGCTCGCTAGGCCATCTTAGCCCAGAGGTCTGGTGGGACTGCGGGACCTTCGGGCACGAACGAGCTGCAGAGGGCCCCCCCCCCCCCCCAGAGATGGCCTC